CAACAGAGGTCTGCAGCTCGTTTGAGTTGCAAACGCTTTACAGGACCTTTGCCACCACCCCTGTATACGAGAAGAAGAATTTAAAATTCGGGTCGGTGGACAAAGAAAAAAAGGAATGGGTGAAGTGGTCGCTAAGCAGAATAATGATCACCGCACATACCACTGACATCCGTCCTGACTACCTCTTTGCCCTTCGCTCAATTCTGGAGAAGAATGCTGATGTGGATTTGGGCGCGATCATACGCATAGATATCTGGGATCGAAGAAACGGAGACAGAACATTGGGTCATGGGACCCTGATCACAGAACTATGCCGGCGCGCGGGCGTCGACTTGCCCACTCCAGCCCCAGAGCTACAAATGAAGCCGCTGTATCCGGCGGCCTTCCACAAAACTTGGCTGGAGTCCATGGGGTTTACTCTTATCCCCAAGCAGAAAAAGAGGAAAGCACAAGCGGCAGCACCCCCTCCACCAAAAAGGAAGATGAAGTTTGTAGGGGGGAAATCATCAGAGAGGATGTGACACCTCAAGCCGAGCCCGATTCTGAGAGGACAGTCTCCAATGAAGCTCCCAGCGATGAGGAAGAGGAAGCCCTCCGCTTCGCTCGGGAGATAGAGGAGGATCTTTTCGGTCAGGAGCGATAAGGGAGGAAAAGCGCCACGAGCGGCCGCTGGCGAAAACAGGTCAAAGAGACAAGAAGACCCTGCTCCGCCACCTGTCAAGAAGCCGAGGGTCAATGAAGCACTGCGAAAAAATCCAACACCCCCTCGGCGAGCGACGAGGCAGAAGAAAGGAAAGGGGAAAGCGGTGGATGTAGACTCAAGCGAAGACACGATCCCCCTCTCCAGACTACGGAAAGGGATCGTCATCAGAGAACCCACCGCTCAACCTGAGAGACCTTCGCCAGTAAGGCCTGCGACGGTGGAGGTGTCACCAAGACTGCCAAGTCCGCTTAGCGATGAACCTGTTCCCTTCGACCAGCAGGGGGCAGGTGAGCCAACTGCTGCTGGATCAGGCGAGGAAGCCGCACCCGTTAATCAGCCGGGAGCGGTAGAGCCTATTGCTGCTGGAACAGAGGAGGAGCGGGAGACTGTGCTTACCGAAGAAACCATCGGCGGGATCGATGTCACAGTGGAGTCATACAGAGAATACCCCGCCGAGGCCCCCGCTGCCACAACCGCTGAAGCTGCCAACGAAACCGAAGAGGTGGAGGCAGTAATTTCAAACCTTCCTATCTTACAAGTGTCCCCACGCAGCCCAAAAACACCTACCAGGATGGGGACACCTGCAAAGACTCTGACTCCTTCCTCACTTAAATCAGACAAAACACTAATAGAGGAAGAGCAGGATAGGAAGCTGCAGGAGAAGCAAGCTCAGCTGCTCGCCGAAGTACAATAGATCGAACGATTGCGACAGCTCGAGCGACAGAAAGAAAAGGAAAATGAAGGTGCTGGCCAAGCTGCTCAAATACTGGAAACCGCTGACTCAACTCCAGCTGCGATTTAGGAGATATATGAAGAGAAAAAATGCAGAGCAGCTGGAGTACGAGGCAGCGATGCAGCTAGTATTCCTCAGGGACGTCACCTCTGAACCAGCACCTGATTCCCTTCGGGAGGAAGAGCCAGTGGAGATCAGTTCGGCTGAGTCCGAGCGATAGTCACCAGCAGCAGCGGGTGCTGGACCATCAACCCCCGCTCATCTCTGGAAAGCATTGAAAGAAGACTGGAGGAACTCGACTCAGCCATTCTCACCCAATACATGATGACTTAGACAATAATTGACACATACGCTAGGAGTCTGGGTGATGAACTGACCACTGGAAAGAAAGCGACTGCCGCACTAGAAGCGCGTGTAGAAGCACTGGAGACTTAAGCTGCAAGCATGGGTACGACGCTGCAGAAAATTATGAAAGCGCTCGCAGCTCTCATCCAACAAAACGCCATTCTTATGGAACAACAGCTTGACACATCCAGGAGTCTCCAACGAATGGAAGACCTAGTACGGCAGATATCCAGAAACCTTCCTCAGGGGCGAGGACCACCAAGCGAGAAAAGGAAATGAAGAAAGGTCCTCCCCCATGCACACATTTTGAAAATGGCAAGGGTTGTACAAAACATTGATCAACGACACAACACTTTTTGGTAACAAGTGACAAATTTTCTTTATTGTATGCCTAACATAACCTAAAGTATGTGTTCTTATGTGAAATGCCTGTAATATCCTGTTGAGTTAACTCTGTGATATGTTTTAGAGTAGAGTTAGATGACTTAAGCACATCAGACCAAGTAATTGTCCTTCGAACTTCACAATAACTTGAACATTAGCGTTAAACTAAGTAACAACGAATAAGACTTGTGAAGATTAGTGCCCCTTTGTTTCAACTTTTCCATACTCAATAGGGCAAGCAAACCTATGTTTTTCAACTGTGTTCATAAGAAATAACAAAAGAGAAATCCTTAAATATAGTTTAAGATACAATGCAAGCGAAGCAGGGAGGACCTATCATTACAAAGGGACCAAAAAGACCTAGGCGTGTGAGAATCAAATAAGATCTTGAGCTGACACAATTTTGTTTGAAACTCTCGATCCAAAAAAAAAAAAAACTCCGCACCCTTCGGCTGAAGGTTTCCTAAATCCGAAAAAACATTCCCCGCTAAGCAAACAAAGTTGACAATACCTGGATAACTCCAACCTTGTTAAATCAAATGACAAGCTGAATACTTATGGCTTCTTTGTTTCTATTTTGAGATTCACTTTACTCCCAATCATGGCACTTGTTGGTAACACTTCTTAATTGCAGTGAACAGTATAAACTCTTGATCTCTTAATGCAGTTTGTTCGAGGACGAACAAAGGTTTAGTGTGAGGAGGTTTGATAACTCCAAATAGGAGCATATTCTTAGCTTGACAAAACTGTGTATTACTCGAATTTCTGTATAAAAACCATCACAATAATTCATTAATGGTATACATTATTGATATATATCGCTTGGCATGATCCAGAATTCGTTGTTGAGATTATTAACGATTTGTCTTTTTAAGCGGTAGTCTGGTGCCAAAAAAGCTAAGGCAGACACCACAAGCGACAGCCACCTCTGTTCGCAAGCGCCCAGAATACATCCTGGAAAATACTAAGGCATGAGAGGCAAGCGGCAGCCTTCACCACCCGCAAGTGACAGCCCAGACACCCACCGCTGCAGATTATCACCAGATTCCAACTAAGTGTTCCAACTGCAGCGGTACAGCCATTCCATTTCCAGCCAGCACAAGCGAGCCTAGCTGCGCTGATGCCCTCCAGCTCTTCGGCAAGCGAGGAAGATTTGCGCCCTTACAGTTCAGTGCAATCAAAGCAAGCGCCCTGGGAGTTATGGCCAGCAACTGCTTCAACAGAATAACTACCAGTAACCGCCTAACTGCCCAGCGGTTGGAACTGCCCAACAACTGATTGCAACTGTTCCGTTTCACCTGCTATAAATAGGGCCAGATATCTTTATGTAAAAATAGATCGATACTTCGATTAAAAACACTCTTAGCAAGTACTTCTCAAGCAAAATTGTCTTCCTGTTCCGAGAGCTCCAACCCTCTAAGGGAGTTATCCACAGAAATGGCCAAGGGAGTAGGAGTTTTCCTTCTCCCTTGGCCAAGTCTTTACAGTTTTTTTAATTAGATTACTACTTTCGTTTACAGCTTTGTAGCTTTAGTCTTTTTATGCTTTCGTAGTAGATAATGAAATATCATTCAGTTCTTCATCCTCATTTCGCCCATATTTTTACACACTTATATAAAGTTTGAAATTAGAGAATTCTATTTCACTGGTTTAGAGCTAAAAAAGAATTGATTATTTGAGCCTTGCTATGCGCCAAAAGCGGTCTCAATGTAGTTAAGTATGCGGGAGTCTTGTCGACCTGCTTAACTGCTGTTTTGAATTCAATTTTGATAAAAAAAAAAAAAAAAGATAACATAAGGGTAAAGCCACTAATGAGGCAGATTTTGGAAAAATTAACGGGACAAAGGCGGTGGTCTATTAGGTCAAAGAGATTCCGAGTGACAGTAGGGTTTCTTTCTTATAATGTCTTGAATATGGGTGTCATTGAAGTCTTGTTGTAAATCCCTTAAGGTAAAAAATTCCAGTGTTATGAATTCTTTATATTTCCAATAACACAACTGCATCGCTCGCTCATTGCCTCCAGGGAAATCTATCTATTTAGTAACGCACAGTTCAGACACATCTCTCCTTCACTCTCGGTCGCTCATCTATATATATATCTACATATAATGTGCCACTCGCTCATGTCCCGTTCACTCGGTAACCATCATTCATTCATGTCCCGTTCATCTGGTCCCCACTTCCGCTCATGTTCCGATCATCTGGTTACCGCTGGCACTTCACCTTCCGCCCTCGCTTCGCTCACTCCAATTTTTATCGCTTTACTTACCGCTTTCTATAGTCTAGCTTTTGCAGCGGATCCCTTCCTGCACTTTTTCATCGCTTTTTCAAAATTTTCATCGTTGAAATTTATGACTTAAAATCCTTGTGTTCGACATGGAAACTCACCAGTAAAAAGAGTATAAATAATTGTGATGACTACTCAGGGTCTACAACCACCAATTGCTATATCTGATCGTTTTCTATAAACTTCACTCACTGATTTTCAAATATAAATTCCCTGTGAATTGTGTAAACCCACGCACACAAATTATCATCATCACAGGCAGTAAGAACAACATCAGCCCAAAACCGGAAAGGAACATGATGATGCACAAGCAAAGTACGAACAGTCTCAATTAGGTGGCGATTTTTGCGTTCAGCCAACCCATTTTGCTGAGAAGTATAGGCACAAGAGGACTAATGTAAAATATCATGAGATGAGTCATAAGAGTAGAGAAGTATTCAGTAGCATTATCCGTCCGAAGTATTTTAAGGGAAAGCATACATGTAACAACTTTAAAGTCTTGCTAATATTTTAACATATGAAGAAGAAGGAAATGAACAAGAACTCACCTCAATCCCTTCTGGCAAGCCACAATAAGGTCAGTGTCTTTGGGGAATTTTTCCTCAACTTTGGACACAAATTCTCTGATGAGATAGAAGGATAGAAGAATATAAAAAACTAATCAACAGTATAGTACAAGCTAGAATATAAATGCTGCTTATGTGCAAGAAAATGAGAAGATTAAGATCGTACTTATTGTAGGACAAAGTCGGAACGCCACTCCACCATCCACCTAAAGCACACAACATACAACATGCAAAAAATGCTACTAAAAATATTAAGTATCCAATCTGAACCATCAATTCAATATTTTTTTTTTTTTGCAATCTTTTTATGGTACAACCTCACATTCCCTATAAAAACATATCAATTAATATAAAACATCACATCCAACAACCAAAACATAAAATATAATAATAATAAATAAATAAACATAAAAAAACAACACTAAGTGAACATAGTACCTGCAATAGTTACAAAAATAACAAGAGTTTTTTTACTTGGGGTTTGGTTGTGTTTTGATTTTGGGTGTTGGTTTGAATAGTGGTTGGATGTGATGTTTCGTAGAAAAAAATAGTGTAATTTTTATATGGAATTGGATTATTGCATAGCAAGAAATTGAAACCAACGGAGCCTAAGAAATCAGCTTCCTACAAAAGCAATACATATATGTCTTTATCATTTATTTTTTCACAATATTAATTATGTTGAAAAAATCAGCACAAATATTGGCATAGGGGAGGCAAATACATTACCCATTACAAAATCTGTGACCTTCCGCGCGATAGTACCAGCTTCGGCACGGTCATCAACTTCAAATAAGGGAATCCAAGTAGAGCCTTTGACCCAAGCCTTCGAAACAATAATAAAAACACAAAAAATATTATCACAAACTCATCATATATGGACTATAAGAAGACCTAAAGTTGGGTCCAGCTAGCAAGTTCCTCGTCATAACATATACTCCCTCTCTCATTCAATTCTATTCTTACTTTTTTTTGCGGTTGTCATAATAAAATATTCTTGTTTCATTTTTAATAAAAAATCATACTTTGTAGTATATTTTTATTATAAAAAGCAAAAAGTAACAAAAACCAGACATCAACATTAAAACATGTGCCGAAAAGTTTGAGAATACTTTTCAATGATGGATGGAGTGTGTGATAAAATAATCAAGCAACAAAAATCACGGACAACTGCTATAGAAATCCTGAGCTCTGAATTTGTACAGAGAAGTATAAGATTTAAGAAATTTTAAAATAAACAGGTAACATTTATAAAGTAAATGCAGTGAGTTTTTATTGTTACTTAGCAAAGGAACATAACAGAGTTGGGACACAATCAAGAAAGTTAATTCACCTTTTGGCGCTCAGTGGAGGGACGAACATCAAGCAATGTTTTATACGAGAGTTTAATGGCATATCCAGCTTCTCTTGGAGTTAAAACTTTTACTTTTCCCTCCCGGACCTAAGTTTAAAAGATATATATTCAAATTGAGACAAATGCTAACATCTTATATATAACAACAGTATGAATTATTAACAAATATAACCAATGCACACAAACTTATATAAACAAAAAAGTAAAAACAAAATCGTTTGCAGGCAGAGCTGTGCAAATATTGTGCCATAATATTTTATGAATGTGTTGCAATAAGGAATGAAATGAAAGGTGTCTCAACATTTTGCGAATGTTAACCAATATTTTGCAACATTCAGGTGTTTTTAATCGGGTCTAAGCCCAAGTGCAGAAAAACATTTTGCCAGTACTAACAAATTTTCCAAAACTAATCATCATCTTTGCAACTTCATATACTTTGAATACAGCTAAAGTCTTTGTAATTTAATATTATATATTCATATGTCTATAATATAATAAAGTGAAATGAATCTCTCCCAGCAGCATTCCACAATTATGGAAATCAAATTCGTAGGCTTTCTGTTAGGACTCATGAGATGAAAATTTGACAAGTTCAGGCTCAGATTACATCATTTCTTTTGTTTATGAGATTTGGGCAGCGGATTTTGGATTTTAAAGCTCAATTGCCAAAGCTACTAATTCTTACAAAATATTTGGATTATTAGCATAATTCGAGCTGGGTCTTCCTACAGGGCCAGGCAAAAAGATATGCAATTTCAATACAATAGCGATCATAATATATGAACCAACAAATATATAAATGCAGTAACACCGATCACAATGTGGTTATAATAATATATTCTACTACAAAGTAGAATTTACCAATTTAGCACAGCCTAGAGTTATTAACAAAATAAAATTAAACCAAACTTTACCACTCGAGCTTTAACCCTGTCCAGGAATTGAGAGAAGCAAGTAGAAAATATTATTCAAGCTCTGCAATATTTTGTTTAAGATTAAGCAATTTTTAAATCTTTATTTTTCAACTAGTGCATTTCATCGAGGAATTGAACTCAAGTCTATTATTACAAAATTAATATAGCTCAATTCACCCTCTTGTCGGATACTATCAAATATTCACAAAAAAAGCTCCACTCTAAAAATTGTATTCAAGCTGGCAGATGAGCTCAGCAAACAATCTATGATCGAACTATATCAGCAGGAACAATACAAGTTCGAGAACAAGTCCTTAAACTTAATAAGGAACAAATTCAAACTTTCATCACAGTATTCATCACAATAAATTGATAACCAAGTCCCTAAATATAGAACTTTGCATTACCATATATATATATATATCTATATATATATAAATACACAGTATTTACAGCTCAAACACATGCTTGCTAACTAAAATGGTCAGTCCAAAAACAATCTCATTGATAATTATAAAAATTGGGATAGAAATTTTACCAAAGTCTCCCATCTTCTTCTAGCTGCAGCAAGATCTTTCATTTGCTTCACCTCGTACTCTTCTTCAACAGCTTGTTGCATTCTTACTCCACGCCTGCACTAAACTAACGCCAAATTCCAATCACCAAACGAAAACTAAATGCACACACTAATTCGAAAAATAACACGAAATTTTTGGGGAAAACAAAAAGTGAGGGTAACTCAGCTTACATTGCGGCGAATATTGAGATTCGATGAAAAAGGGATTGCAGTAGCGACTGAGCCGGAGAGACAGTTGAAGCTTCTTGGTTTGTGATGATGGAGAGCATTGATGGGCGGGAGTTGAAGCGCAAGGATTTCCATTTGCAGTCGGAAATGGCGCTAGCTGCTTGCTGGCTTGCTGGCTTGCTTATCCGCTTTGATAGATAATTTCGATAGAATTGGGAAAAAGAACAAACGCTGCTGGTTAAGGACGTGTTTGTTTGTTTATTTAATCTAGAATAATAATACTCCTCATAGGCCAAAATTACTTAGCTATTTATGCATAAATGTTAAATAATTTTATTATTTTTATATAATAATTTATTTAGTATTGTTATTTTTATTTATCTCACTACTTCTTTTTATAAATTATTTAATAAATTTCATAAGATAATGAACTGTTTCATGTTATTTTTAAATATTAATTATTATATTAATAGGCAGCACTTTTCTCATCCCACATTACATTACATGTCTGATATAATTAATTAATTTAATTAAAAATTTAAAAATTTAAAATTAGAAAATTTAAAATAATATTAAGGTGTGTAAGCATTAAAAAAAAAAAAAAAAAAAAAGACATGAGACGTGAGACATACATAAACAAACAATGTAGATATGGTAGGTGTGGCGGAGGGAGTATAAATCAAGAAAAAAAATACAAAAATATTCTTATTAGTATCTTGTAATGCAAATATAATGACATTTATAGAGTAAATTATACAAATATAAAAATATTTTTACTATTAAATACAATGTCAAAACGCAAACGGTATTCTTCTTATAAAGTCTAGACCCGATCTTACTCTTGTATGTCATTCGGCCTAATGTGCTTTAGCTTGCTAGTTTAATTTAAGAGTCTTTAGATTCGATCAAAAATTGATCCATAATATACATAGCGGTTGCGGATTTATACGTTATAGAATTAAAACATAATAAGGTCATGTATACTCGTGTTTTGGTTTTGATTTTGTTTTTTATTATTATTTTAATGATAGTTGATGATAATTTTATCTTTATATGTAATTTTATTTTTACATGTGTAAAATTATTGCGGAATTTATTGTTATAATATAAGTATAAATATGATGATATTTGTAATATATATAGAAATCATATTTACTAAAAAAAAATAATATTTTTTATTTGGACAATAAAAATAGCAAAATATATACTTACGAACAAGGAGCATTAAAATATTGTTATGTTTTTAAATATTTTATAGATAAAATAGGGATGGTTTATTTAGTACTTGACTTGGGGTATTTTTTTTATTTGAAGTATAAAAATAAGTAATACTTTCTCCGTTCCATAAGAAAATATTCATTTGCTTTTTGCACGTAGTTTTAAAAATATTAGTATTATATTGGAATATAGAAGAAATAAAGTAGAAATGACTAAAATAGTCTTATTAGTATGTTTGATATAAAAGTAACGACATTTGTGTAATATATTGTAAATTGTAAGGGTATTTTTAATATTATATAGATAGTACAGTTACTAAAAAAAAGGAAATGGATACTTTGTTATGAGACGGACTAAAATAAAAAAATGGATACTTTGTTATAGGACGGAGGAAGTATAAAAAATAATATTTTATAAATGTTAATATTTTGTGAGAAAATAACGACCGAGTATAATACGGCCATGGTTACTCTGTTGATGCCTTCCGCATCAGCATGGTACTGATTTCTTGTCGGTTGTTTGATCATACCCAAGTCCCATAGTAAGATTATTACTCTTTTGGGTCCACATAAATTATCTATATTTTAATTTATAATTTATTATTTTATTTTTTAAAATATAATCATACACTCTAATATTGTTTTAATATGCATTTATTAAAAAATTGTTTTTATTTAAATAATCAAGCAGAAGTGATACTATATGACATATAATAATAATAATAATAATAATAATGCATTTAATTAGCATTTGCCAAAATTATACTATAAAAAATAAAATTACACAAAACTTATTATATATGATATTAAAAAATAATCTTTAATATATGTTAACTCTAAAAATCAATAGAATAAAAATAAAATTCATATTAATATTCAAACATGGTTTAAATCAAAAAAACAAAGTTTTTCTAAGGATATCTTTTAACAAATTTTCAATTCTTCTATATATTGTACATTGAAATTTTAATATTTTCTCTATCTTATAACTATGTATTTATTTACTTTTTGTACGGAAGTTTAGAAATATTAGCATTATATTGAAATCAAGCAGGAATAAATTAGAAATGACTAAAATGTAATGACATTTGTGTAATATATTGTAAGTTGTAAGGATATTTATAATGTTAGGTAGATAGTACAATTACTAAAAAAAAATAAATACTTTGTTATGGGACGAAAGGAGTATATGTATTCATATTTTCACTTCACTAATAATAATAATAATAATAATAATAATAATAATAATAATAATAATAATATACATACTTCACTTCACTAATAATAATAACCTACTAAAACATTCACAAAATTATTCAAACAGAACTATTATTAATGAAAATAATATAAACTTTAAATCAATAAAAAATACAGAATATTTAAATATTTTTTTCTGTAACTCGAATAAAACACATACTCATAATACATAATATAAATGCATAAAACATAAATCATAATCATTATCCAAAACGAAAATACTTGTATCGAAATCAAATAAAAGACATTGAAAATGAAATTATTATTTTTTTAAATATATATATATATATATATGTAAGGATATGTTTATATATTACAAGAAAATGATTAGAGGGACTAATTGATGTCTTTATTCTTTCAAATTGAAAAGGACATTCTCTTTAGTGTTCGTTGCCCACTTTATTCTCTGTCTCCCCCACATTGGTTCTTAAATAAATAAAAATAAAATAATAATTCAATTTCTACAAGCAAAACTTTCACTACTACATTATTGTAATACTTTTCGTCAATGATTATTAGAACTAAATTATTATAATAATTGTTGGTATCAAATGTCTTCTTTCATATAAATATTTTTTTATTTTCAACATACTTCCGCCGGCCAGCTAGAAAGTATACATATTTTTATTTTAGAACGTCCAATTACAAAGTAACCATTTCATTAAATACACTATTTTTCCTACAAATACTCCTCATTTACATCACATCATTAATTTTATATATAAAAAAAGTAAGGGCAAAAATGTCATTACACTACTTTTACCTACCCACTATAATTAAAATACTATTATTTTTTAAACTCCGCGCCAAGAGTAAATGTATACTTTTAGCTTTGACGGAGGGAGTATATAATTTATATAATACTCCTTCCGTCCCATAAGTAAATATCAATTTGTTTTTTTGCACGTAATTTTAGAAATATTAGTATTATACTGTGATATAGTAAAAATAAAATATAAATGATTAAAATAATCTTATTAGTATGTATGATATAAATGTAATGACATTTCTGTAATATATTGTAAGTTGTAAGAGTATTTATAATATTAGTAGATAGTACAGTTACTAAAAAAAATGGATATTTTATTATGGAACAGATAGAATAACTTTTAAAAAAAGTTTAATATTTAAAGTAAAATATTAATTTTTATATTATTTATATTTAACATTAAAAATAAATATTATTGACTAAAATACTAAACATCACACCCTATATTTGATTATTATTATTATTATTATTATTATTGTAGAACATAAAAGGATGTGTTAGTACTTAGTAGTTCAACTAATTTTTGTAAGATAATTTATATGATTTTATATGATATGTTTTATTGTAATTTGAAATTGAACTTTTGTTAAATAACATTTAATGTGTATTTCTTTTTAAAAAATAATATATTTTTATTAAAATTCGTAATGATATAATAGTGGTGTAAATCTTTTATTTCAAATATTATAAAATATATTTTATTAACAAATATTGTGCAATTCAAATCATAATACATCCTCTGTTGTACAAAATAAAAACTTTTATTTTTTGAGTAAGGAAAAAATATAAAAAATAGAATTTTTTTACTAAAAATAAATAAATAAATAAATTTTGATTTAAAAAAATAAAGATTTAAATGACAAAATAATAATAAAAAATCATTCTAAAATATGGACAACTTTTTTACCTTTTTCCGATATCACTTTTCAATTGTGATTTTTTTAAAAAAATAATAGAAAATATCAAATATATTATACAAAAATAAAAAAAATAAAAAAAAATTCAAAAGTCACTATAAAAAATTCAAAAGTCAATATAAAGTAATATATTTTATATTTTTGAAATAATTTCTCATACCATATACCAAACATTTTATCTTAAAAACATTGCATAAACAATGGTGCTGTTTGTTATGAATAAATATCACAATATGCTATTTTTTTATTATTATATACTATTTATAACTTTGTATAAGAATAGGATTTTGAAAATTTATTTTATTTTTATTATATAATTATTGCAGTTTATTTAATATATTATTATTTTTATAAAATATTACAAAACAATGTGTTTTATCTATTTTTATTTTAATATTAAAATTATATTGAAAATCAGCTAAAATTATTTTTGATACACTTTTTCACTAAAATTATAATATGAATAATATATTAAACTTTTATTTATGAACGGTTACAATGTGTTTTTATTTATTTTATGTTACTATTAAATCCGCTAATATTTTTTAATTCATTAATAATAACAAATATGTCACTATTTTTTATTTATTTATTCTATTATTTTATTATTAATTATTTAATAAATTTTTTATAATGTACTTTTATTTTTTAATTATATTTTATTATTAAAATATTATTAATTTTCAGTCTTTATCTTAATTTTTTTTTATAATATTTCATTTTATTTTTCATATAGCATATTTTTATGTTAAAATTTAGTTACATATCGATCCAATAATGTAGTATAAGTTTTCTGAATGTTTGTTTGGATTGTTTTGAGTTTTACTATTCACAACCTTTTTTTTCAAAATATTAAAATATATATTTTTTAATATTCTATTAAAAATATTATTCCATCCATCTACTAAAAATATTTTTATTTTTACTTTTAAATTTTACTCCATTCGTCCATATAATTTGTTCATATTTTCTATTTTCGTCTGTCCACATAATTTATTATTTTCTTATTTGAAAATATAATTATACACTTTAATCACATTTTAAATTTTAAACTTTATAATTTTTTAATCTTAATTAAACTATTTAATTATTTTAATATTAATTTATAATTATTTTTAGTATATAATAATTATTTTTACTAATATACATGGAACAGAAAAAGTAAATATATTATTCAGATCTTTTCAATTTTCTTTTTATATTAGTAAAGCATTCCAAAGTAAATATAAAAGTATTCATATTTTACCATTCAATTATTTTTATATTAAAAAGTTATTAGTAGAAAAACAACATAAATTAATTTTTATTTATATCATATAAAAAGTTAGGGAAAAAACTATTTTTATATTAATATAATTAAAATTCATCAATTTTTATTATAATATAAAAATTTTATCAATTTTGATTTCAATATAATCAAAATTTATCATTTTTGGTCTCAATATAAATAAAATTCATCGTTATAATATAAAATTTTAATCAATTTTAGTCCCAGAACCAAAACTCGTTGGGTTTAATTGAAACCTTATTTATTTTTATATTTTTTTAAAAAATAATAAATTTTGGTTATATTGATATTGTGATTTTTTTCCAAAAAAGTTATTTAAATCTTAAATTTCACCTTCGAAATCGAAACAGAAAATCAAAACCCCATACAAATATAAACACATAAAAATATGATTTTTGAGTTGAAAAGAGAATTTTGATGGAAGAAGAGTAAGAGTCTTGCAGAGGTAAAATTCCCACATGTGACTCCCTCCTTCCTCCCACTTTGAAGACGACAAAAAATCCATCGCAAATCCAACCGATTTCCGCCTCAATCCATTTTCAATCGGTTGTTGTTGCTTCACATACACTACTTTCCTTCGTCTCTATCTAATTTCTCTCACACCAAATGCAGGAAAGGTAAGGCTGAAGGAAGGAGATCTCGAATATACTTGCTTTTGTAACTTTGGTTTTCATCTTTTCAATTTTAATTTTTTTGATGTTTTAGTTGCTTTGTTAATTCTTTGTTCGGTGATAATGACGTTTTTTGATTTTATTATTATTTTTGTGTGATTTTATATTTGGTGAAACTTTTGTGTAATTGTTTTTCACTTTGATGCTGAGATTGTTACAGGTAACTCTTGGTTGTTTATGATTTTTTCCCCCTTTTCTGATGCATTGTTTGCGTGAAATGTTTGTGATGGATTTCTGTGTAGCAGGAGATTGTTCTATTCGGTGATTCGGCAAGTAAATTGAAGCAATTTTATCGAATTTGAAGGTTTCGGTTCTGTGCTGCGTATGCCAGTGGATCTATGCTGGAATTGTAACTTTTTCTGTTGAGGTAATTGAATTAGACACGAAGGTTTAACCTCGGAGAGGAGAAATTTCTAGGTTTTGTAGTTAAAAATTCCACAGGCAAGGGTTAGCTTTTAATTTTCATTTCAATTTTTTTTTGTTGTTGATGTGGTTCTTGTCGGTTAGCATTCTTGCTGTGGGATTTGTCAAAATCATAGAGATATACTTGAATCCATCCAAACAGAAGATTATTGCTTCATTTTTGTTAATTGAAATAATCTTTCACTGATTTTCAATATTTGTACTTTGGTTTGGCTCACTTTGGTGATGTTAAACTTTAATAATTTGCTTTGAAATTCGATATTGGTTGAAATTACTTACGATTTTTGAATGCTTACTTTTTAGATAGAAAAATATGTTTTGCTTTTTTGTGAATTATTTTGGGTAAAGCAGTTTATGGATGCACTTTAAGTCTAGAAGTAATATCTAATCTTTTAGGTTGAAAAGCTGATGGGTAACAAGATATCAAAAAAATCGATTTCTGGTCGATATTCATCGTATGCGTCAAGTTCGAACTGGAACCATACTGCCTATCCACAATCATCGTATCCTCAGCCAAGTCATGGCTATGCACCTCAACATTCGATGTATGGTGGCCCGCCCCCGCCTCCGGAGTCTAAGAGAAGATTGGAGAGGAAGTTCTCTAGAATAGATGACAATTACAACTCCTTAGATCAGGTAAAACAATCTTAAGCATGTTCTCCGAGATTATTGAAGATTCAAGTGTTAATTTTTCTTAGAATTGTGGTATTATGAGTAATTATGTTATAAAAATTTAACGATTGTGCAGGTCACTGATGCTCTTGCACGTGCTGGTCTAGAATCCTCGAACTTAATTGTTGGTATTGATTTCACAAAGAGTAATGAGTGGACTGGTATGGTTTCTGTTGTCTGAGAACAAATTTTTTATTCTAATTTGCAGATACCGATGATTGCATTGATATATATATATATATCTACATATTTCTTTTGTTTTTCTTCTCAGGTGCCAGGTCATTTCACCGGAGAAGTTTGCATCATATTGGAGATGAGCAGAATCCTTATGAACAAGCCATATCGATTATTGGACGAACACTCTCCAAATTTGATGAAGATAATTTAATTCCTTGTTTTGGATTCGGCGATGGTAATTTTTATTGTCTGGATTCATATGCCAATTTCTTTTGAGTTTTGAGAACTGAAGGCTGATGAAATAAGTGATGATTTCTTATTGCCAGCTTCAACGCACGATCAAGAAGTCTTCAGTTTTTTCCCAGACGAGAGGTTTTGTGAAGGGTTTGAGGAAGTGCTAAACCGATATAGGGATTTAGTTCCTCAATTGCGGCTTGCAGGTTCAATTTTTCTGATTCCCTTTATACAATTTTTTATCAGTCTTGTCTTCCTACGACAAGTGTTTTCTATTGTTGAACAGGACCAACATCATTTGCTCCTATCATTGAAATGGCTATGACCATCGTCGAACAAAGTGGTGGCCAGTACCACGTGCTGCTGATCATAGCTGACGGACAGGTACCAATTATTTAAATGGGAAATTTTGTCCCCGGGGCTTTATTCCTGAAAATTTAAGCTATACAAGAACACTTTGATAGTTTGATGATAGCATACATGCGAAATGCTAGATTTTCGAAAAGGATTTATGTTTCCAGTTCTGAGTAATCCCTCACTTTGTGAAAACAACAGCTCAAATATCTGATAAAAAGATGTCGAACCAAATGTGATATAGAATACCCGAAGAATATTCCGTATATGTTTTATGTTTAATGTAGTTTCACTTGGGCACCATAACTTTTTTCATATACGAGTATACAGCCAGACTGGTTATAAACCCATTAGTCTATACCATAACAAATGTGAATAGCCGAAAAATTGATGGTTCGGTTTTTGAACCCAATATGTGTAACTATTTGGTATATAGGTCACAAGAAGTGTCGACACTAATCGTGGCCAGCTAAGCCCCCAAGAGAAGAAAACTGTGGATGCAATCGTCAAAGCTAGGTATTAGTTCATTTCCACTCCCTTTCAAGCATCTTAGTTCTTTTAGACACATGAGATTCCTTCGTTCTTGACACCCTTTCGGTTGTTTACAGTGAGTACCCATTGTCTATTATATTGGTTGGCGTTGGAGATGGGCCGTGGGATATGATGAGGGAATTCGACGACAATATTCCTTCCCGGGCTTTTGACAATTTTCAGGCAAGTTAATATATTCTTGATAAATCGAAGTTGAGATTAAAATCCCGAGTCGTGTATGGAATTGTAAATGAAAGATTAATCATGTGTATTTGGAAAAATGTATCCAAAGCTTCAAAATCTTAATCACAACTCGCAAAGGTTCTTCATTTTTTATTTTTGGTGAGAATTTGTTAATGGTTAAAGCCATAACATCTATGGTTTCTCTGCGTTTCTAGTTTGTAAACTTCACAGAAATCATGTCGAAGAACATGGATCGGGCTCGAAAAGAAGCTGAGTTTGCGCTCGCAGCATTAATGGAAATACCTGCTCAGTATAGAGCAACTCTGGAGCTGAATATTCTTGGGTAAAACTAAAATCCTAATTTTTTTTTTTTTTTTTTACAAATTACGACAAAATTTCTATTGCCATCTTCTTACATTGAAATCTTAATCCAGTGCTTCTAGAGGAAAGGACGTTGATCGAATCTCACTACCTCCTCCCCTCTACGGCGCGGCATCTTTCTCCACACCAAAGCCTTCCCGTTCCAACAGTTTCTGTCCCAGTGCACCGACTTCCAGCAGTCGGGATTCTGCTCCGCGGTCCAGCCATTCCGGAAGCCACACTTCTGACAACCATGTAATAATCTCTAATTCTCTCTCTCTTACATTAGTAATGAATCAAGCTAATCGATTACATAACTAATTGCTTGAATTATACTAATATTCATTTGAAAACTTAATGACCTTGATCGAGAATGATATATTAAGATCACATCCTTTAGAAACAATCGATAAATCACTTGTAAGGTCTGTCGGTAGTATTTTGGTACCTAAACTGAAACGATCCTAGAAAAATGCATACACATTGAGCCATTTTATACTTGAATTAGTTTTTATTTTTTAGTTTTTTCTAGCAACTAATATCACATGATATGCTGCACAAATTTAATCGGAAAAATACACGGAGAAAGTTGATATCCCATCTAAATGTATACATTTGTTTTTTTGTAGTACATTAATGTATAATAGTATTTTATTAGTAAGTAGAGTTTGTAAGAATATTTTGACAAATTTGTATTTTATACTTTATGGCTTATGTATAAAACAATGTCCCGAGTAACACTTCTACTATTAATAGAAATTGTATACATATTTGGATGGGAAAGACGAAAATGACAATATATACTTTTGGATGAGACAGAGTGAGTACTCACACATATATTTTTTACGATCAATTTATAATTATATAAATATATTCTTAACTAGTCATATTATTTCGAATACTTCTTGATTCAATTTAAGTCATAATATCTATGGAGGTTAAGAACAACATTGGTTTTCATTTATGTAATTATTATTGCAGCTTTGCCCGATCTGCATTACCGAGCCAAAGGACATGGCATTTGGCTGCGGACACCAGGTACAACTCTTGCTACATTTCTTACATTTGATTGTGGAAGCCCGGGAAATATTTTACTGAGAAATGATTGATTTTTATTTTTTTTCTGTGCTCTTGTCGTGATTCTTGTTTACAGACATGCTGTGAATGCGGACAAGATCTTGTCTCGTGTCCTATTTGTCGAATGCCCATCGAGACAAGGATAAAGCTCTACTAAATAATACTCAAGGTCTCATGGAAGCTGCCTATTGTCGAATCTTTCTTGCATTATTTGTGCCTACTATTCGAACATGTTCTGAACATTATTTTTTTCTATCATGAATTTATTTATTTCTCTTATGTACATAAGTTTTGAACATAATAGGTTTGTGACCTTTGTTATGTGGATTAATTTTGATAAATTGGAGTTTTATTTTATTTTTCCTTTTTTGGGAATAAATGTACATAAGTTTCTTAAATTAAACTCGTTGTTACTTCACGATTTGGCGTGATATTTGTTACTTGTTTTTGTTTTTTGTTTTTTTTTTTTTAAATTGAGTTTTGTCATTAGTTGGTGATTTTTATTTTTTTTAGTTTTGGATTTTTTTGCTTGTTTGAATTTAATGTTTAGTAAGAGGAAATAATCTTTTGTATAGAAAATTGTAAAAATTGAAAGGCAAAAAAATGAAAATAATTGTCAAAGTAAACATTAAGTTTTGAATTTTCTAAAATATATAAAGCTCTATTTATATAATTATATGTACTTTTTCAAAAGTTTGCTGACATTCATCAATATGTATATTTTAAAAAAGTATTATGTTAAATAATTACTCCCACTGTTCATTTTCTAATGTCCTATTTGATATTTACACTATTTTTAGACAATTATGATTTTTTTATAAAATAACAAATTTGACAAATTTGCCCTTAATCTTATGTATAGAAAATAAAAGAGTAACTAAAGTAAGAGTAAAAGAGTAAATTTTGTGTATAAAAATAGAAAGAGGACAATAATTGTTGGATATTCCAAATAGGAAAGTAGAGCGTTAGTTTGTGGACGGAGGAATTATTTTTTTTTTATAAAATATTACATTAAATAAATAATAATAATTTTTTTTTATAAATATTTAATTATTTATTTTTATTTTCTAATCTTTAATATTTCAAAAGGCTTTGTTTAAATGGAACCTAAATTACAATACAACTATAAAGTAGATTTTCCTTGAAAATGAAGGGTGTTTATTACAAAGTGGTTGCACATAAAATAATAGATAGAATAAGTGAAACGTATGTAGTATGTAGTACATATATATATATATATTATCAAGATATCGTATTTAACTATTTAATTTACTTGAAAAAAAGATATTTTTATTTAAAAAAAAAACATAAGGAAGACATTTTAAAATTTAAATAAACTGTTTCATTTGCACGATTGAAGTATGTCCAAAAACAAGACACTACCAAATGTATAAATGCAATAAAAACAACCTGCCCTAGATTACTACATCCAATATTGTATTAGGTAGGATGTTTGTGTGCTTATAAAAAGTATTTTGTAGTATACGAAACATAAAGTAACAATGCAAATTTTATGTTAATATAATATAAATATAACATATCTATGAACGAATAATATATATATATCATAAGTAAGCATGGTGCGGATTTAATCGAATCACCATATACTATTCAGGTAATCAATATATATATTTACACATATTTATAATAAACATATACTATATTATAATTCAACATATATTATATTATATGTTGTATTATGTGTATGACATGCTGATCCGATTAAGTTAGTACTATGTTGATTTGGCCCGATCAACATATGATCCGCATCCATTAATGATATATACAATACATGTTTCAACAATAACCATATATGCGCTTATCATTATAATGCGCTAATTAACATTAGAATCAAACCGATATATAGATATACATCATATCATATGCTACACCAACATAATATTCTAAAACTAATACCAATACAATATTGGAATCTTATCAAGTGTTAAAGAACAAAAAAAATTGAAGGAGAGCCTTTCTCTAAAAAAAAAAACAAGGTTTAATTATAAATCGGGAAGTCTAAGTAAAAGTTCGGTTTTACTATTGAGTAATTAGATATTTGATAATTTGCTTTGTTGCTTATGTTCCATGAGTTACCGATGAAAGATCCTTGGGAACAATATAAGCTTTTCAACAAACTTTCTTCCCCACTTTGCTTTATTGTCTTAATGATTCTGGCTTATGTAGGCGAGTTGCAGCCTGCAATCCGAACTCAGGACGCACTACAAAAAAAATAGTATATTAGTAACAGAATTCCGTCTCTAAAGTTCACGTAGTTAACGCAATTCCCTCTTTAATTCCGTCTTTAATGTCATTAGTAATTGAATAAGTGAATTTAGGGATGAAAAAATCTTTGTTACAAAATTGATATTTTCTTGTTGTGACGGGTTTTTGTGATAATACCAATGCATTCAAGATTAGGTATAATGAGTATAAAGTTCTACAAAAATTCTTTTTATCCTATAAGCTTTAAGGTGTACGAAAATTTTATATTTGATTTTCATTTTTAAAGTAACAAAGAGACTTCATTTAATTTAAAACAATTTATGTCGGAGGTAGACCTACGTCAAGATAACCCCATCTTTGAAACACTTTGATAGTGTTCTTGGATCAAAATCTGATATAATGAATCAAACTCTGGATAGAGTAAGAATTTTTTTTTTTTTTTTTTTTTTTTTCATGACTTTTGCTAGAGTAGCGGTTTGACAAGCAACCTCTACTCGAAACATAGGAAGAGTTAGCTAGAAAGTTCATCTCCTCACTTTCGCTATGTTCATAAAATCATGTAAGAACAAGTTGCAATTTCACAATGTGCCACCAAGGAGAGTTATCTAGAGCGCACTCGAAAAGTAATAGCTGACATTATAATAATAAAAAAAAGAATAAGGACTTTATGAAAGAATGAACCCGCTGCGAATCCTCGATGCTAGTAAAAATAGTCTACAATGTAATCAATGAGGATGTAAGAATTATGCTATACTTCACTTTTTAACTAGTGTGATTTAATTGAGGTGTGATTTTTCATATATTAAGCTTGAACAAAGGATTTACCCAATATAGACTCAAATATTTCTGTATAAAAAAATTTGTACATTAATAGCACAACTATATATCCATATTAAAAAAAAAAAAAACACATTTTCTTATAATAAAATATTGTATATCTCAAGGGTATTTTAATCTTTACATATACATACGTTCTACTGAATATAAAATATTATTATTCTTTAATCAAGATGTAAACGGTAAATACTTCACCACAAAATATCTTTTGAAACAACATTCTTATTACAATCCAAAATTCACAATGGCAACCTTTTCAACCTTTAAAATGCCGACGACAACAACAACATCATCGGCTTATTCTCGACTAGATCATCTGAACAATCGATCCAAATTTCCCTTCAAAAGAAAAATAAAACTCCAAACCAGCCAATTTCATTGAAAAATCGATTGATCAAAACAAAAAAATGCTAATAGCAGTAACTAATATCCCTGACTTTGCATTCACCTTCAAGATTTACGATAAGCAAACCATTGTCTGAAAAATACACAAATTCGAATTCCTCGCCATCCACTGTGCAACGAACCGGTTTCTTACTTGAGTATGCACCCAACCGGCCGCTGCCTCGGGCTTCAATTATTACACTCTGTTCCGAAGCTTTTTGGGACAACCTCAAACCTTGTACCGCTCCCCCGGAGTTGTACATGTCAATTAACCCGATCGGAGCAAATTGCAAGTCCTCGTTCAAAACCTGTCCATGTGAAGCTTATAAGTATCTAAAGAAGAGTAGTTTTATTGTTAATAGTGTAAAATATACAGATAGTACATGGCTTTTAATGGAATGTAAAAAAAAAAAAAAAAAAAAAAGAAAGAAGAGAGAATCATGTAAATTTTATTGCATAATAATATGCCTTTGTGTTAACTAAAATTATACGTAGAATCTCTATTTTTCGCACAAATATAGAGATTCTATGCATAATTTTAGCTAATGAAAAGGTAGTTTACGACCATAAATTTTATACAAGATATTTTATGCATTTTTAATTAAAACAAAGGCGGTGGGAATGTAGTTTACATTTTCTTTTTTACTGAGCAACAAATAAAAAGTTTCGGTACAAAAGTAATTTTGATCCTACTAGAATGATCAACATTGAGAACTAATAAAACCATCTAATAGAACCAAACTTGCCATTTTACCTACAATAATTCACACACATACATATATATATATTTATTTATTTATATGTATATATTTTTAAAGACGCGGATCAAACTTTTTCACGTAAAGGTGAGTATTGAAATGATCGATTGATTACTTACCCTTATCGGAGAGACGGTGAATACTTCACATTCAAGAGTGGCTAATGACACTTTGATCCTTTCCTCTTTGGAGAGTCGAGAAAGCGAACCTATACGATGACAACATAAAAGATATAGTTGCGCACGCGTGTTTTTAAGGATATGTTCTCTTTGAATTTTATTTTATTTTATTTTATTTTTTACATTTTATAGTCAAGTTTATTGAGATCAATGCATATTCGAAAATAAAATTCCAATTTTGTAACCATATGCACACATGAATCAAATTCAAAACAATTAACTATAGAATCAAATTTCTTCAAGCTCGATTTCCAAATATTCAGTCTCCGTTTAAATAGATGTTTTGAAAGTTCTAGTGTTTTGGATAATTTGAAAATAGTAAAATTTTGGAGTTAGTAAAATAGTATTTGAAGTAACGTTTTGTGAGAGTAAAAATGTAATCAAACACTAGTGTCGAAAGTTTCAGAAGTATCTATGTAAAGTGAGCAAAAAAATTTGAGTTCCAAAAACCTAAAATTCAAATTCAAATTCAAATTCAAATTCAAATTCGATTAACGATTATGAAATTAAGACTTACCGGTATGAAACGCGTAGGCAGCACATTCACCATCACAACTTTCATCAGTAACTTCTTCAAGAAAATCGATGTCTTCGGGACTCAATTGGCTTGACAAAACTCGAGGCTCGGATGACGAGTTGGCATAATGCGCCGGATCATCCATCATCGGCCAATTTCCGGCTCCTTGGCAGTTAAACACACCGATCACTCCCGAAAACTTATTCAAGTTCCAAATCTTCAACAAGCTATACAAGTTAACACTTTAGTATATGAAATCCTCAATAGCCTAAAAATGCTCATTGAAATTTGAAAAATCGATGAAATTTTGCTGTTTCACCTTTTGCCATCGACTACAGTGTCCACAAATAAGCAGTCGCGTGTGGGCCGTCCAGCATATCGAGCTCTTAGTATCGAGCCATCGGGCAACACTAATTTCTTCAAGACTTTGAAATCGTGCTTTCCGGGCTTGTCGCTTATGTCATTATATTTGAAAATTAACAATAACGTATTTGGGAAATGTATAAAAAATATCGCATCAAATTAGTTCGCTAGCGACACCTTACCTCACATACACCGGGCATCCACCTAACGCTCTTGCCGCGCCGTGGAATTCGGCTGTGTAATGGTTGCTCTAACATAGGATGCATCGAGAAAATACGATAGTAAAATAATAAAAATTAAACGATCGTCTCACCTAAAAAATTTATAACAAAAAAAAAAAAGAAAAAAAGAAATTCATATGATGTTGTACTCTCTCCCTCCCACCCAACCAAAAGTATATATTTTACTATTTTCGTAAATGCTACCTCACTACTAACAAAATATCATTTAATTTTAAAATAAATTATAAATATACTATTACATGTACTATTCTTTTATACAATATAAAGTACAAAGAACAAAAAGAATAAAATTATCTTATTTATTATGATCAATAAAAACACTTCCTCCGTCATTCAAATTTATTCTTATTTTTTTATTTTTTATAATTTAAATTTATTTTTATTTCATTTTTTAGTAAAAAATGTCACTTTTTTTTTTTTTTATCCAAAATATTTTTTTTATCTATTTTTCTTAAAAGCCGGTCAAATGGGCGTACTTTTTTAGGACAGAGTTATTTCTTAATTTACTAAAAACGGGTACATTTGAGTGAGACAGAGGGATATATAAGAAAGTAAGAATTCACACACTCCCGTGCGCCATAATACCGTGTTAAATGTTCGCCTAAGGATGTATCTATTTATATTCATTTCTTCTAACTCGAAGTCCATTTTCCAAAAATAATGACACCTTACGACTTCATTCGCTCGTCGTGTAAGAATTCAAGTTTTGTACCGGAAGAAACGGTTAGTAATGTCTGAAAGATACCTGGAACATGTCCCAATCGGGCACGGAAACCTCTCCGAGCAGAAGGCTATTGAAGGCCACGGAAGCAACGTGCAAAGTTTGAAACGAAGGCTCCCGCGGCATGAAGTCTTCCGACGCTCTTGCAGTGGCACTCTTCTTCGAGCTGCGTAAACATAAATCACAGTAAAAAATACCTGAGAAATCGAATCAAAAAATTTAAAAACAAAAAAAGAAGTCGAACCTGTAAACATAATCGTTGTTCAAGCTCATACAGCTTATCAAATTATTCTCTTCGAAATTCTTCGCAATTGACTCCTCTAACGCTCCTTGAAATCGTTGGGTAACGGTGACCCGGCCTCCGTAACCATTGCCAAGTGTCTCTGCCAGATTTTGCACGTCTACTTTCACTCCGTCAACATTGCAGCTGGAAAGATAGCTGTGGAGATCGTTATAAAAGTCGTAAGCTTTCTCCGGATCGATAAGACCGACTCCGTATTTTTCTATACTATCCATGGCAATGTCACGGATATTTCCTATGTTTCCGGGAGATTGCAAGGGATGTATTATCTTCGGATTGTATTTCTTCATTTTTTCCGACGATGGAAGAAGCCCTCCCCAGTACCCGAGCAACGCGTGCCAAACGTAGATGAATCTACACCGAAACGCGCAAATAATTACGAAATGTTAAAAAATACCCCCTCTGTACCAGTTAATTTGTCTATTTTAGCTGAAACACGGAGTTTTAGGTATTATATAATTAATAAGTAATTAAGAAGTGTATTAACAACAATAATTACATTGTAATAAAAATAATTATAGATTAAAGTGATTAAAGTGTATAATTATACTTTAACAAAAATAAAATGACAAATTATGTGGGACGAATCGAAATAGAAAAAGTGAACAAATTATATGGAGTGGAGGGAGTAAATGACGAGAAAAAAAAATCGAGGTTTGCGATATACTTCACGCTATATTCTTCTTTGATGTAGTTGACAAGGTCGCGGAGATTGTAACACGAAATGTCGACCCCGGACGCCATAAATTTTGCACTTTCCTTAATATCGACTAATCTACTCGCAAATCTGCAGATGAACAACAAAAATAAAACTTATTTCCGATTAAACAACTATCAAGTTTAAAAGATTCGACGGTTAGATTACTCACTGTGTTCCTTCGATCAATGGCTCGCCTTCCTTGTGAAACTCATTACACGTATCTTGCCATCCGTCGTCGATGATCAAAAACTTCGGAGGGCAACCACCTTCTAGAAAACTGCATTGAATCATTAAAAAGAATTTGCATTCAACCGCGAGCGCGAAAATTATTTTTGTACGTCGACTTACCTTTCGAGGCCTTCTTTAATTCCAACCGGATTTACGTCTTTATAAAAAGCATCCCAAGTACACCAACCGAACCAATCTAAATGTGCCGGTTTCTACAAACGAAAGATTCACCACGTTTCAACTAAAATTCAGCTCAATGTTGCGAGCATTGCAAAATTCTCACCTTTTTGTTGACAAGATTAGTGAATGTGCCTTTGCACTTCTCAAGAATCCTGTGCACAAAACAAAACATGTACCGTGACGGAACCTTAAACAAATGGCGCGTAATTAGAAGAAATTACGATTCGCCTACATACTTGAAAGAATCCTTTATGAGCTCGAAAGGGTTACGCCCCGAATTAATGAGAACGGATTCAGTCACTTCCATGGTTTCGATTTGTTCGTCTCCTACAACATTCCAAGTTCGAATATCCAAAATCATCACGGTGTCATGATACAACAAGCTTGTTCCTTTAAGGTTTGGTTTTGATCTCGCATTATTTTCATCGTTTTTTTTCTTTTTTTTTCACTTTCGAAACTGTCAAATCAAACACTTAATTTTTTATTTAAATATATCATACACAGAAAAAAATAAATTTTTAGTTCAAAATATCTTTTTATATCACGACCAAATGTTATTTCAATTTAAATTTTTATCATTCTCAGACCCTACACTTAAACCCAAACCTCCAAACGTTAAAGGAACATACCATGTGTTCAAGATATCAAATTATGAGTGCAAATTGGGTCAAATCAACATTAGGTGTGTTCTTTTACCAGACTTTACAAAAATTCTATTATTCCCCAAAACTTTCCCTATGAGAACATCAAATCTAAAATGTATTTTTTATATTACAATAAAAATCAATTTTTCATTCAAAATATCACATCAATACCTATTTATATTACCCATAATACTAATTTGACCCAATTATCATATATAATAAAAACATACAACATATATTTTTGTATACCACAGTATATATTTGTGTTATAACAAAGTATATACTGTGTTATAAATATATTGTATACCTTTATTACATAACAACGCTGATTTGACCAAATCAACATATATAATAAAAATATACGTAAATATATGTTATATACCTTTATTACATTAGTCAAATCCCAATCAGCATAGGATCCGCAACCTCAAGTTATTCATGTAGAGTGCTCAAACTTACCGCTTTCGACACACAATTCAAGCTCGTTCGATGAATTCCCTTGCAAAGTCGCGCGGAATTTCCCTTCCAATACAGGCAATAGCAACACATAAAAAGTGTCGCCAGCCGGATCCGTCTCTTCGAGTAGCAGCATTTGTGTCTCGATCGGGATGTCCTTTCCCAAGCTACCAAAACGAGGTATCATCCACCAAATTTTGTGTCTGAACAAGGACACATACTTGCACTCCCTGCAATGTTCGAGCATCGAATGCACCAGCTGATCAAACCAACTGTCTTTATTACATATCCACATATTAATCCAAATTTTCGAAATTTGCTGTACAAAACAAGGTATTGATGTTGAAAAGATATAAGAAATATCACTATACTCTCGGAATTTATCATCACATATCTCTCAACATTTTCTCACAATGGAACCTACTTAAAATTTTTTATTTCTATTGCTCTTCTAAAATAAATATAAACATATATATTAAAAAATTTCTTGTTTTTTAAATTATAACAATCATATACAAATATATATATATATGTATTATTTTATTGAATTACACTTTTTATAATAATTGAACATATATTTTAAATTAATTTTTAATCAAATATATTATTGTTCAAAAAATCATTAGTTTGTTTACTATTCCTAATATATACTGTAATGTTTATATTCGATTATCTCACCAAAATTAACAATTCAATGCAAAATATTATTTTTTTTATATTACTAATACCCGACACTAAACAAACATCTCAAACTAAAATACTAAACAAATAAATTCATGTTCTTTTTTTTGAAGTTTGATTTCAGAATGTTTTGCTATGTAATTCTCAAAATTTTCTACAAATATACATTATTTATTTTTTCTTAAAAAAATATTATTTAAAGTAAACCTTATAAGTCACATTTAAAAAAAAAATTCAAAATGAAAAACCCTCCAATATTTAAAAATATATATTCTCACCATTTAATAGCAAGCTTTTCATTTGACTTTTACATTAAAGTAAATTAATATTTTATTAAATATAGTGTAAAAGAAAAGTGTAATATTTATTTTGATATTGACATTAAAGTAAAAGTATTGTAAAAAATAAAAATAGGAATATTTAGTTGATAGTTATTTTTACTATTAAAAAAATATGAAATTTTGATTTCAATAGACTAAAATGGTAAAATTAATTTCTTTTATATAATATAAAAACTAAAAATAAGGTGTTGAAACATTTTTGGAAAGAGAAAGTGTATTTGATTTTTATTTGAAATTTGTTGTGTAAGAAAATATACTACTATTTTTTATTGATAATAAATTAAATAATAAAAAATTTGAGTTTGAAATAAAAAAAAACTTCTTCCCATACTTATCAATGTATTCGTGTCCCAACTCCCAATTCTTGCTTACCACTACAATCTCTGTTGCATACTTGCATTTGTTGGGAATTTCTCATAATATTTTTATTATTTATTTTTTTTAAAAAAATATCAAATTAAATAATTATTTTTATTTTTATATTATTTTAAAAATTAATTTTATATTCAAAATATCACAATAATATTTATTTATATTAAATAAAAAGCTATTCAAATCCAAATCCACAAATAAACACAATATAGTACTTCTTCTTTCCCTCAAAATTATTTCTTTCATATTATAATAAATATAATATAAATTAATATTAAAATCTTTTTTAATTTTTAAATAAAATAACAAACATACAATGATACATATACATAAAATAAAATATATATATATCTATATATCAACCATCTTATACAATTTTACTAACAATAAAACATTACTCTCTCCATCCCAGATACCACGTCCACATTGCCATTTATGTCCGTCCCACATATCATGTTACTTTCCTTTTTTGAAAAATTATTACACATTTTAATTTCTTTTTAAATTTTTAAATTTTTTTTTTAATTTTAATTAAACTAATTAGTTATCTTAATCTTAATTTATAATTATTTATATGATAGGATAATTATTTTCACTAAAATATTTTTAATTATCTACTAATTACACCCCTCCTAAAATACCGTCTATAGTGTAGCAGACACGATATCTGGGATGGAGGGATAATTATTTTTTATTTTATGATAAAAACCCCAATATAATAAAAATCCCTTCAACCTTGTTTCGTTTAAATATAATCCACTTCCGTTTGATATAATTTACTTTTTTTTTTTTAAAAAAAGTATCATATTAAATATATATATATATATTTGTGTTTTTAGTAAAAATACACAAGATACTCTTTATTTATTGCGTGAAATTAAAATAAATATCTATACGTAAGTTTTATACAAATAAAAAATAAAAAATATTTTAGATAATTTTGTTGAATAAAATAAATGAATAAATAAATAAATAATGGATCAATCACTTATTTTTATAATTTTTATAAAAATCAGATAACAATTTGTTTTAAAAACTATAAAATAAAAGATTATTTATTTATTTATTTATTTATTTTATAAAAAAAACTATTTAACATATTTTTCATTTTTTATTTGTATAAAATTTTCGTAATTTAAGTATTTCGGACAAACTTTATATTAATGCAATGGATTTTGCGCAATAAATAAAATAAAAAATATTTTGTTCATTTTTACTGAAACACAAAAATATTACTCTCTCCGTCCCATAAGTAAATATCCATTTATTTTTTGCACGTAGTTTTAAAAATATTAGTATTATATTGAGATATAATATAAATAAGTTAGAAATGACTAAAATAACTTTATTAGTTATGTGATATAAAGATAATGATATTTGTGTAATATATTGTAACTTGTAAGGGTATTTGTAATACTAGGTAGACAGTTACTATAAAAAAAAAAATGAAATGAATATTTTGTTATCAGACAGACTAAAACTGAAAAATGAATTATTTATTATGAGGCGGAGAGATACTCTAATTTTTTATTTTTTTATTTTTTTTTTCATAAACATCAAATCCAATATTAATTTTGAGTTCTTTTCTCAAAATTTCAAATTTTAAAAAATCTCAAAAAACTTATATCTAAAAGAATTAAATTCGTCAAAATAAAAAAGGTATAAGAACTTACTGAAAATGACCAAGCCGAAAGACATGTCTGGAGCTGGGAGAAGTGGAGGCAGCGCCAATAAATGCAGCAGCAGCAGCAGCAGCAGCAGCAGGCAAATCGTCGAACACCTGGCGGACAACAATGTTGGACGGCACACCGACCACCACCGCCTTCCCATTCACAATTAGGGTTCCGTCTTGCACCGCCGCTGTCACCGTCATTTTAGCCTCGCCGCCAACAATATTCCTTGTCCGGACACGATTATGATGATGATGTTTGTCGATATTGTCGAAAATTCTAGGTTTCGATTTGGGCAATTTGGGGATTTTAGAAGAACAACGGAAAATGGATCGTGGAATTAAGGTTCGGAAATGAAGAGGTGAATGAGGAGAGCGAAAGGTGTGTTTGGATTTGGTGAGAAAGAGGTTTAGGAAATTCGGGGAGGGTTTGGTGGAGGAGATATATATACAACTAGTCAAGGACGCCATTGCTATTCCTAATTTGTCATTGCTATTGCTATTGGTGGAGAAGATTAGTTTGGTCGTCGTCGAGGCCACTATTTAATTTCATTTTCTTTGGTGTAAGAATCAGACAAACTTTTGACCGAATTTGGGAGCTTGGAATTGATTATTTGATCATGACTAAGGCTTTGTTGTGTATCAACTTAAATTACTTTTATAGACACGAGTATCCATGAATAATATAGGTTGCTGAAAGCACGCTCTTCGAGTAAAAGTTAACGTGTTTCTATTTTGGGACGGTCAATTACAAAGTTTACGTTTTATTAAATATTCTATTTTTTTCCACAAGTACCCTTACTTTACATTACATCGTTACTTTTACACAAAAAAATAAAGGCAAAAATGTCATAACATTATTTTTAATTACCCACTATAATTAAAATACTATTATTTTTTAAACACCGCGCCAAAAATAAATATAATCCTTATAAATGGACGGAGGGAGTATTATTTTCGTCTAATTTAAAATATTTTTTAATATATTTGTATATTTTATTTACAAAATATAGTTTTTTATTTTATTAAAAATAATTATATATTAATATTAAAATATTTAATAATTTGTATTTAATTTATAAATATACTATAATTACTTTATATAGAGTTTTACATACTTTACCCAGGGATGTCTCGTATTTTTTTTCTGCTTTGAGTAAAAATAAATTATAGGTTTTATAAATACATTATTAAAATATATATTCAAAATATTATCATTGATTGGCGTCGATATGACAAAATGTTGACCGTGACGGTTTAAACAGTGTCAATTTAAGAAAAAAAAAAAGATGAAAACGAATTGTCCGTAGGTTCGAAAAAAAAGAAGAATTGAGAGAGGGTTAAAGAAAGAGAGAAAGTGAGCCGGATTTGGTCTAAGCTAGTGAGTACAGTACGACAGGATGTGAGGTAAAGAAATGTAGACTGAGATTAAATTTGAAAAGATAAGTTGAGGTATATTTAAGAAAAAGAGATATAAAATAAAATTAAATTGAACTATGAAAAAAAATATATAAACAAAAAGTTAATTTTTAATTTTAAAATTTAAAAATAATAATGGATAATATTTTAAAATATAGACCCTCTATGAACAGTTGCTCACTCTGCTCTGCTTCGAGCCGCTCTGCTCTTACTCACTAATAAAATACTAATAACTTTTAAATCCTTATGAGATTATCTAATAGTGTAAATATGAACCATTAACTGTGAGATTATAAGTTCAAATTCCGATGTAAAATATATATTATAATTTTTTATAATATTTATAAAGAATGAAATCGTTAGAGAGGATCTTAGTGATAATACTATAACATAATATTTTATATAAATAATCTTTAATAGAATATTTTTAATGTATTTTTAAAAAAATTGGAGTATAAATCTTACTGTATTGAAAAGGGTACTAAAAATTGATGCAAATAAGTAATTAAGATCGTGGCTAGCATCTCCAATGACAAATACCTAGAACATTAGACTGTTAGTAGTATTCAGATTTTTATATTGACATTGACTTTCAAGATTTTCTAACGTGGCAATGACTAGGATATGTTTAAGCAATCACTTGACTCACATAATAACAATAATAATAATAATAATAATAATAATAATATTCGATTAGAATGTTCATCAAGACTTACCGATGTGTGTTTGTTTTGATGAGTTTGAAAAAAAATTGATTTGAATTTGATATAAAAATAATATTTGATGTGATGTTTTGTGAAAAAAAATACAGAAAACACAGAGTCCAAATAATAAAATTTTGAAAAAATTGACTAAAGAAAAATATTATATGCAAAAGTTTTTCAAGCATAAGTAGTGATGAAGTGAAATATATATATATATATATCTTTTCTTGAGCGCGTTATTTTAGTGAAAAAGCGACCGTAAAATATTTCTTTAAGTGAAAAGAATGATGTAGATTCGGAAAAATCAACACAATGCACGATTAGACAAAACTAATAGTGTATACAGAGATGTATAGTTTATGGAATTGGCTTATTACCACCACAAAATTATTGAGGGAGGTTTGTTTGATTGTAAGGTGAGAATTAGAAATAATAATCATCAAATTTTAACTAAAAATAATTATTTAATTAATATAAATATATATATATATAGATGTTATATGATAAATGCAAAATTATTTCTAATATCAAATTAAAAAAAAAAAATCACTAATTTGATACGATTTAAAAGAAAAGAATGGAATGAGAAAAAAATTCGGATTTTTTTTTACAAACAAGCAAACTAGCTTGATTAAGAAAGAAGCAAAGGTAGAGTGGAATGAAGCCTTCGAAATGCGCTTCGGAGAAATATTAAAAAATAATAGTATTTTATTGGTTAGTGAAGATGTGTAAGAAGTTGCGATATTTTTGTCATTTGACTTTATATATAAAGTAATTATATGTGTAATGATATATTTGTAATTTAAATAAAAGTTAAATAATTTTCTAGTATTAGTGTATGAAATAGGAGTGTGTTTGACAATTAGCTGATAAATGTTAGCTCTTAGCTGACTGGTTTGACTGGTTGATTCGATTAGCTGATTGTATTAAAATGTTTGATAAAATAACGGTTTGATATTAGTTGTTTATACGTAAAATTACAATTAAGGATATTTTATATGTTATTTTCAATATATTTAGTTGAATTTTCAATGGAAGACTTTTTTAGAATTTTATTATTAATTTTAAAAATTAGAAAAAATTTATTAAGATATTTATTTTTATTATTTTTAAAATATTTTGCAAAAATTAATGCAAACTTATTGAAAAATATATTTTTTTTTCATTAGAAATAGTATAAATATAAAAGAACAAAAATCATTAGTATATATATTTTTATTAGATTAATTTTTAATTAATATATATTTACATTAAATTTATAATTTTAAATAAATATAGTCATTTTTAATAAAAAAATATTATGTGATAAAAAATACTATATAAATGAATCAATAATATTAATATTTCATATTATCCTTATTCTAAAAAATTTTCAAAAAATAATTATAAATAAGATAATTTACATATAACAAAACAATTATTTTAAATTTATAAATATGAATTTATAAGTTATTAGAAGAAGATATATCCAAATAATTAATAAATAGTGTAATAAAAATATATATTAATATACGTGAAAAAATTAATTAATTTTAAGAGCAAATAAAGAATAAGAAAACTTAAAATGAAAAAGTTAATTTGAAACGTTGGGATATACAATTTTTTCAAAATTAGCTTTTTGGACCTAATAAGCTAATTGAAAACGTTAATTTACCAAATATCAAAATTAACTGGTTTATTGGTCAACAACTAAAAGTTAAGCTAAAAGCTCTTGAAAAAACCGTCTACCAAACACCCTCTAAATTTTCAACATATTATCTTGGTGTTTGTTTGTTTGTTTTTACCATTTCAATTCAAAATAACACTATTTATTTGACACAATTTCTAATAAAAATATACTATCTCCGCCCGGCTCTAAGAGTCTCATTTACTTTTTTCGTATTGATCTTTGAATATTAATTATTATATCAAAATATAGTACAAATTAAGAAAAAATTAAAAAAATACTTTAATTAGTATCTTATAATACTAATACAAGAACATTTGTACAAAAAATTATACAAAATAAAAATATTTTTAATGTTAAATATAATTATGCAAAATATAAATGCGACCCTCAGAATTAAACGGATAAAATATTATTTTCTTTCACCATCACCATCACCATCACACCATCATCACCACTCCCTTCAATACTGTGTGAGCCAATGACCAAATTGCCATTGATGAACACTATTAGCACCACAAGATTTCTATTGATGGAGCTTTATTGATGGAAGTTTTCCTATTGATCCACATATAAAGGTATTGCTACAAATAAATTGTTGTATGAGAATATAATTCAACTTAAATTATGATTATTAGGATATTCAGAGTGCTGATTTGATCAAATTAGTATTATTTTGATTTTGACTAAGTTAACAAACTATCTTGAAATAACTAGCAAATTCATCACAAGACATATAACATATTATCAAATTAGCACATTAACTTGAAACAATTAACAAATTATTACAAAACAAATAATATATGTTATGTTACATAGAAATACATGTTGCGTAGATTATATTTCGTGTTAAAATATACATATATTGTATTATATATAATTATATATTATGCTCTGTCATATATTGTATTAATATTTGCTGTGTAGATTATATATTGTATTTTGTTATTAATTTGCTTATTGAACTAGGGTATGAAAATCAAAACCTATTGTTTTGAAATCATATTTATATTTTGTTATATGTAATTATATAATTTGCTATTAAAATATTTGTTATATATTATATTAATATATGCTAATTTTATTATTATTATTATTATTTATTAACATTTGCTAATTGACTCAAAATATACTATTTTAAAATTAGAATTTTATTTTGCTGCATAAAATAAAGTGAATGTACTAAGCAATTTTATTTAAAAAACTGATAAAAAAATAATGAGCTAAGTAGAAAAAAATTAAATTTATAATTATTTGTTAAAATATTAATGATAAAAATGTTAAATTATTTACCATGCCTAGACCCCAAAATTTTGGATTCTTTAGAAGCCTATCTATATGTATAATATCAATAATACTACCTCAGTCCGACTCGAAGAATCTTATTTGTTTTTTTATGTGTTCATCTTTTGAATAATTATTATTATATTAAAATATAATACAAATTTTAAAAAAATTGCAAAAATACTTTAATTAGTGTTTTATAATACTAACAAAAACTTATATAAATATAAAAATATTTTTAATGTTAAGTATAATGACGTAAAAGGTAAATGTGACCGTTAGAGGCGGACAGATGAAGTATATGTATATATATATATACATCTTAAACTTTATTTACTTGTATTTAAATTTGAATTTTTTGTTTAAATGTAGTTTAATACTACTATGTATATATATTTTTTTTATAAATAACGATATTAAAAAAAAAAACTAAAATAATAAGATAAATAATTAAATTTTTTAATTTTATATTAATTATATTTAAAAATGAAATAATTTTTTTTTTTATCTGTCAGACTCGAACTCGAGACTTAGATATTATGTCGGATGCAAAATAACTGTTTCATCTAAAAGTTCAAACTGTTAAGATAATACAACCATTAAATATTTATCCGCAAACGAAAATCCTTAACTAATACATATTGAACGAAAAGAGCATTTAAATAAAAAATTATTAGTTTTCAAAATTTAAATTCAAAATCAAAATCCAAACAAACACACTCTTGGTGTGGCAGCCCTATCATCATGGTTGACGTCTAGAAGTTTGGTCAAATTAAATTCATTAAGTAATCTTAAAAGTCAAGAATCTTAATTAATAAGGTTCATTACATTCGAGATTCCAATGGGCAAATTAGGTACAGCTGACAAGGAATCCAATAGGCAATAGCCAATAGCCAATAGGCAATAGGCAATAGGCAGCTGTTTCTGTGCTGCATCAATTTATAGCTAAATTAATTATTTAATTAATTAAATAAATAAATTATTAATTAGCCCTACCAACAACTCAAAGTTGGTGGCGGCTGGTCAAATCCTCCAACACGGGTTACATGCGTATATTTTTTATAACAATATTACTTCATCCGTTCTAAATACCTTACAGTATTTTCTTTTTTATTGGTCCCAAACTCACTGCAATATTTTTAAATTTAAAAATAATTAATAATATTTTTATACACATATTAATATACACTTCACTATATCTATCACATCACTTAAATAAAAAAAATAAAATAATCATTTCTCTCTCCAATCACATTACTTAATATCCAAATTATCTCAAATTATCATACTTAATACTTTTCACCTAAATTCCCGTGTCAAACACAAATGTTGCACGGTGTTTGAGACGAATGGAGTACTATTTTAAGAAAATTAATATTAAATATATATTTTTTAAAAAATTATATTAAATATTTATTTTATTTTATAAAATATATATTTTTTGTTATGTAAGTATATTTCAAAATTTTCCAATCTCATTTCATTCGCTATTATTTTATTTTTGATACATTATTTTAGGTAGTATAGTTTTAATATATATATTTTTTAAAAAATTAATTTTAATTTTTTATTTTTTTAACTATTTATATAAATTGTATTTAAAAGTCTGAAAGAGGATAATGGTGCAAATATAAAAGAATTTATAAATATTTTGAGGGATTTAAATTATTAAAAATACTCCAATAAAGTCTGAAAAAAATAATTATGTAAACCTTGTAGAAAAAAGGTAAAAATAAAATATTCAAAAGACTATCAAAATTATACTTATTTTTAAAAAATAATACCAAAAATAAAATGAGAAAAAAAAATATTCCCATGATCCGGGGGTCAGATGACCAATTTGATCAGAAATACGGTATGGTATTTTAAGAGCAATTTAATAAATTAATTATATTAATTATAATATGATTTTATTATTTTTATATAAGTGGCGTAGCTAGTATTTTAAAATAAAAATTAATATATATATAATTAAAAAAAATTTAAAATAAGTGTTTAAATATTTTAAATATTATATCTCAATAAAATATACTATGTATATCAATTTGTAGAATAAAATTTTATATAATATAAATACGTTAATTTTTTTTTATTTATCTGATAAACTAATTTTATAAACAATTAGAAGTTGTAAATATATATAAAAATATTTATTGACTGAGGATAGAGATAAAAATTTAAAAAAATATTTGAATAGATTCTATAGGTACAAGGTTTATAATTTAATTAAATAATTTATACTTTCCCTATTCATTAACAAAATATTCATTTGATTTTTATTCATATTGTATTTAATATTAAAAATATATTTATATGTATAATATTTTATATAAATGTTATTGCATTTCTATTATACAATACTAATAGAGATATTTTTTTTAATTTATAGTATATATGAATATAATATCAATATTCAATATTTAAACACGAAAAAAAAATATTTAGTTACAACGAAAGAAGTATTTATTAAATATATTTAAATGATTAAATTTACTAAAAAATAAAAGAAAATGTAACTAAAAAGAAAAAGAGTCAGCCGGAAAGAGGAGTATTGATAAGAAAATAATTATACTCCCTCCGTTCGTTTATCATTTTTTATTTTTCGTTCATTTCAAAATAAGGTTACTATTTCCTAATTTAATAATTGTATTATCTACCTAACATAATAAATACCCTTTCAACTTACAATATATTACACAAATATTATTACTTTTATATTACACCATACTAATAGGGGTATTTTTGTCTTTTTACTATAATCCAATATAATACTATTATTAAAAAATTTACGTGTAAAAAGCAAATGACACCGTTTCAATGGGACGGACGGAGAGAGTAATATATTTTTAGTAATAAATTAAAATGCAGCTTATGATAATGAACAAGAGCCATTTATGTTATAAAATAATGAGACAAGTTGTGAATTTATTTAAATCATATGCACTCACCGACGTATGTCTAACAAGCGTGTAGATTTTTTACTTTTATAAAATATAGTATATTATTTTTATAAAATATTTAAAAAGTTAAACATATATATTTTTACATTTTGAATAACTAATCATAAAAATCTAAAATCATAAATTAATAAACAGAAGAAATAATGTGTTTGTTTTGAATTTTTGAATGATTTTTTTTTTTTTTATGTAAAATATAAATAATATTAACTCTGTCCGGCCACAAATTACATAGTGGTTTTTTTTGCTGATATTTGAATATTAATTATTATATTAAAACATAGTATAAATAAAGAGAAAATGACAAAAGTGCATTCGTTAGTCTCTTATAATGCAAATACAATTATATTTTTGGAGTAAATTATACAAATATAAGAATATTTTTAATGTTAAATACAGTAAAAAAAATAAATATTTACTTCCTGACTTGATGGAGGTAGTATAAAAAATAATATTTAATTTTAAATTGTTGATTTTTTTTTATAAATAAATAATACATATATATCATATTATGTATAATTATATATATTGTATATTTTAATAATATTCATACCAAATCATATCGATATAAAATAATTGGATGAACAAACCTATAATACTTCTTCCGTCCAAAAGCAGGAAATATAAATTTACTTTTGGTGCAGAGTTTAAAAAATAATAGTATTTTAATTACAGTAGATAGATAAAAATAGTGTAATGATATTTTTGTCTTTATTTTTTGGTATAAAAATAATGATATAATGTAAAATAAGAGTATTTGTGGAAAAAAATGATGTATTTAATGAAATAATTACTTTCAAAATAAAAATATGTATACTTTTTAGCTGAACGGAGAGAATATTTAATTTTGGAGAGTTAAAAAAAAAAAAAAACACAAACAAACACGACGAGTCTCTAATAAAAAATCATATGGTCATTATTGGCTGTCTCCAAAAAACGTAACTATACAGATACAGATAGGGTTAATTTAATTTAATTTAATTTATTATAAAAACAATTATTGCCCACAAACTACAGATATGTATGACTCATTTCCACGTCACCATTCATTGGATTCAACTTTACTTACAAACACATATACATACATATCTCTATATCTATCTCTCTCTCTGTATATATATATATATATATGTCTGAAATTTGAATCATTAATTTCATCAAATCCCACATACGTTTCGTTGATCAGCAATTTGTTAGCCCTCAATAATTCTTTGTAGAGATTTTCATATCTTTGATTTAGGCTAGGCTAAAATGACCGTCACAGCTCTGCCTGTGATCAAGAATGGCTGTCTTATGGTCAACGGCAAGGTTGTCCTAACCCGGGTTCCGGACAACGTTGTCGTCACCCGAGCCGGCTCGGCCGGATCGGCATTTATCGGAGCCAGTTCGGCCGAGTCGAGTTCGCGCCATGTCTTTACCCTTGGAACTCTAGAGTACGACTCTGTTTACTTATGTTTTCAATTTTATTTTCGTATAATTTTCGTTTATCTTATTTAAAAATATTACTTATTTCGTCGGTCAAATTTAGAGATGACATAAATATTAAAATATTTTTAATTTTTATATAAATTATAAATAAAATATAAAAAATAAAAATATCAAAATTATTTTACGTATTTTTATTAATTAATAATATATTAATATTATTTTTTAATTTACTATAGAAATCCAAAAAACTATCGGACGTGGACGAAATGGAGTTTTTAATATATAGTATATTTTTTAGTATCGAATAGTAAAAAATTAAATATTTAACATGATGTTTAGAAGATACAATATGTAATACAATGATTTTTAAAAAAATTACTATCGATGAATAATGCTGAAATTTCTAATAATATGTAAATTTTAATCGTATAAATTTATTATTTTTATTATTATTGATTTTTATCCGTCTTTCGCAGAAATTGCAAATTTATGTGTCTCTTCATAGCTAAAATTTGGTGGATGATCCCGCGAGTCGGGACATCCGCTAGGGAAATCCCAATGGAGACTCAAATGCTACTATTGGAGGCACAAGAAGAGTCGGCCTTCGACTTATCAGATAATTCGGACAATGATCTTGAAGACAATAACAAGTCTTACATCCTAGTATTGCCCGTCTTGGATGGATCCTTTCGGACAACTCTCCAAGGGACTAAATCGAACGAGCTCCAATTTTGCTACGAAAGTGGTCAGCCCCCTTCACACAACCTTGGTTTAATTAGTCGATAAAAAAAAAAAAAAAAAAAAAGAAGAAGAAAAACTTAGTTTAGTTGATCCGTCATCACACCCTTCTTACATCGACTTGTTAACTAATTAATGCTCATTTTCATTGTAAAGGCGATCGCAATGTTAGAACATCAATGGCTATGGAGGGAGTTTTCGTGAACTCGGGAGACAACCCTTTCGAGCTCCTTAAGGATTCGATTAAGTAAGTTTGTCTTTTTCATTTTAGATTTTTACGAATTTTCGAATTTTTTTTTATTTTTTTATTTTTTTTGACTTATAAGTGTTTGTTCTTGTGTAGGATATTGGCTACACTAAAGGGCACCTTTAGTCACTTGGACAACAAAAAGGTAACAACTATACTTCGTACATTGAATTCACGCAAATATATATATATATATATTAAATATATATATTTTTAAAAGAATGCAATTTTTTGTTTTTAAAAATATAAATATATATTAATTAATTGCCACTAAAACAAATAGTTGTATGAAAATGGCAGATTCCAGGTCATTTAGATTGGTTTGGTTGGTGCACTTGGGATGCTTTCTACACACAAGTTACTCCAGCTGGAATCGAAGAGGGCCTTCAAAGGTATATAAATATATCTATAATTAATATAATTTTTATTTTTTAAAAATATTAATTAAAAATTTATTCAAAAAGATATAAACAGATACTTGATACTCCATTCGTCATCGAATTCTATTCTCATTTGACTAGACATGAATTTTAAAAAAAGTGTGTGAAAATAGAAACTTTTCTTTTTATAGTAAGGAAAAAAGTAGAAAAAATGATATGTTTTACTATAAAAGAAAACGAGAATAAATTTAGATGACAATCAAAAAAGAAAAATGGAAATAAATTTAGATGACAAAGAAAGTATAATATTTTGAATAAAAAATTAATTAATTTTTTTTTTTATACTGAATGTATATGCAATGCTCGTACATTCAAATGACCAACAAACACAACGGCTATTTCAGCTTCAAAGAAGGCGGGATTTCTCCGAAATTTCTCATAATAGACGATGGATGGCAAGAAACGTCGAACGAGTTCGAGAAGGAAGGCGAGCCGATGATAGAAGGAACACAGTGAGTCTCGCCTCGCAATTTCATATTGCCGTAAACCTTTCACGATTCGTTTTTAATCTGAATTCTTATAATTCGTATAATGTGGATTTAGATTCGCCACTAGATTAACGGGCATCAAGGAAAACAACAAGTTCAAAAACACAGTCGACACAAATGGCTCGACGGAAAACCTCAAAGGGCTTATCCATCACATCAAAGAGAATTACGGGTTAAAGTAAGAATCACAAATCTCTAGATAATTCGCTTTTCAATGCACATTTTTTATGACGTGGAAATTCGTAGTCGCTGCACAATTTTTTTTATTGAAAAGCGTGTTTTGCTTAATTTGTAGATATGTTTACATGTGGCACGCTCTGGCTGGTTACTGGGGAGGCGTACAAGCCTCCTCCGATGCGCTAAAAAAATACAACCCGACGCTTTCCTATCCCGTGCTATCCGACGGGAATGTCGGGAACATTAGGGACATTGCCCTCGATAGCTTGGAGAAGTACGGCGTCGGAGTCGTGGATCCGGAGAAAGTGCGCGATTTTTACAACGATATGCATAGTTATCTCGCGAGTTGTGGCGCGGATGGTGTTAAGGTCGATGTTCAAAACTTGCTTGGAACGTTGGGAGAGGGACATGGTGGTCGAGTGTCAGTTACCAGAAAGTACCACGAAGCTCTCGACGAGTCCGTGGAGAAGAACTTTGTCGATAATAACTTGATATGTTGCATGTGCCATAATTCCGACTCTATTTTCAAGTAAGTGAGCGAAATTCGTTTGATAATCGTGGAAATTTTTATCGAACGTTGGATTGTGAAATGACCTTTTTGGGCTTTGATCTTTAGTTCGAAGAAGAGTGCAACTGCAAGGGCGTCGGAGGATTTCATGCCGAATGAGCCTACGTTCCAAACGTTGCACATTGCGTCCGTGTCGTATAATAGTCTTCTCCTCGGCGAGGTTTTCGTGCCGGATTGGGATATGTTCCATGTAAGTCTCGACCTCGTTCTTTTCCTTAAACGATCGAAAATTGAGCGTTACATGTCATTTTAAATAATTTTAAGACCTATCTAACCTAATATATTTCTTGATGTAGAGCGACCACAACACGGCCGGGTTCCATGGCGCGGCTAGAGCAATAGGCGGTTGTCCGGTCTACGTAAGGTAAAACTGAACCATGTTCATATAATTCACGCTACGACTAAATCAACTTAAGTCGACAAATTTTTTCCCCTTTCGACACATAATTAATCTTCTTATTCTACTTCTCTATAGCGATAAGCCCGGAAAGCAAGATTTCAAGATCCTAAGAAAGCTCGTTCTACCCGATGGATCCGTCTTGAGAGCAAGACACGCCGGCCGTCCTACGCGCGATTGTTTGTTCATCGATCCGGTCATGGATGGAAAGAGGTACACCAAATATGTTTGTTCGATTTGAGCACTTTTAGATAAAAAGAAAAAAAGTCAGTTCAATTATTTCTAACATGATATCAGAGCCTTGATAACTAATAAAAATTTTGGGATTTTGCCAATAGCTTGCTCAAGATATGGAATTTGAATAAGATAACCGGAGTAGTCGGTGTATTCAATTGCCAAGGCGCGGGAGCTTGGCCAATGAAACAAGCTAGAAGCGACATGCCGGAAACCACTTCCATCTCCGGACATGTAAAGCCTCTCGACGTCGAGTTTCTTGAGGAAATCGCCGGCGAAACATGGACCGACGATTGCGCCGTCTATGCATTCAACTCAGGTTAGCTCATCTCCATGACAAAATTTAACCTAAGGCACTAAAAACATCATCAAATCTCCATTGCAAAGTCCAATTTTCACACAACATGTTCACTTTGATCTATACAAAGGTCATTTTGTCTAAAAGGTTAGATTGCGACTTAATCCTTATATTGAATGTTGAAAAATTCTTTACGGAAAAAAAAAAAAAAAAAAGTTCTTCCTCAATCTCTTTTAGACTGAAATTGATGTATTTTGATTTGACGATCAATTTTAAATAAATAGATTTGAAATACTTTAGAATTCAAATATATCATTTTATATTACGAAATATTCGAATTGACATAGTATTTAAAGATCATTTGAAATATTACAAAGATATTCACTATTGACATCATAGATACTGCGAAAATAATTAAATTTTTTTTAAAGAATTATTTTAATCCAAATAAATTTATTAAAAAAAACCTAAAAATTATATGATAATATATTTTTTGGTAATTATTTTGCTCTCTTTTGTAAGGGGTAATATGAAATTCACCCTATTTAAAATATCGATCAAATTTATGCTAATACGATCAAATCATTCAAATTCCACAGGTAGCCTTTCGAGAGTACGGAAGAACAAAAGCATCAAAGTTTCATTAAATGTGTTACAATGCGAAGTATTTACTGTCTCGCCTATAAAGGTATCCGAGAAGATACTATTCTACTTTACATTTTATTACATTCTTATTTCTATATCGACTAATGAGAGTTATTCTTTTTTTTTTTTTTTTGACATTATGAGCAGACATTCAATCAAAGTATCGAATTCGCGCCAATTGGACTAATTCACATGTACAACTCGGGAGGTGCAATCGAGAATTGCGCATTCGAAGAGAATCGGGTGTCGATAAAAGCACGAGGGTATGGTGTGTTTGGAGCATATTCTAACATGAAGCCAAGTTGTTGCAAAGTAGACAACAAAAATGAGGATTTTACTTACGATTTTGAGAATGGATTCCTGACAATGAATCTTGAAGGGGAGTGTGGTTTGAAAGAGATTGAGGTTTTGTATTAGGACACTTAGGCCATACCAAATATTGTATTCATTTATTTATTTTTCGGGTTTGGATTGAGAGTTGTCATAATTCAATGTATCGAATGAATGTAGTTTTATATTTATGTTGTCGGAAATGAATTTTTTTTTTTTTAATTTTAGTATTATTCATTAATAATTTTAATATACAATAAATTTAAAATAATTTTTATTTAGAGAATATAAAGTTTGTTTATTTAGTATTTTAATTTGATTTTTTTAATGTGAAATATAATAAATAGTGTTGTAAATATTAAAAATAATAGTTTATGTTAAATATTAATTTTTATAAAAAAAAATAATATATATATATTGAGAATTATATTAAAAAAAAATGATATACAAACCCGTAATATCAACATAATAAAAATAGATTTTAAGAAATTAGTAAATAACTTATTCATTTATTTATTTATTTATTTTTTAATTGAGTTTAACCTAATAATAATAAGAATATTAAATTGCAAAAAATTCACTTGTGGTTTTATAAAAGTATACGAAATCCTCAGTACATTTAAAACTGCATCAAACAGACTCGTGATTTTATAAATTGAGCATGCTGTCCTACTCGTGATTTTATGAACTGAGCATGCTGTCCTTTAACAGTGTTTGACTTACAGGTGCTTCAAACTGCGAATGAATTTCAGAATACTCATTTTTAAATTTCTAAAATTATAAATATATTTACTTATTTTATATTTGGCCTTAAAAAAAAAAAAAACTCTTAAAATCAGAGAAAAATAACTTAAATATATTTACTGAGGTTAAAAGTTTGTAATTTCATTCAAATTGTAAACATGCAGGTCAAACAATGTTAAATAAAGACGCCCTAGGAATTAGACGAAGAGTTTATAAAATTACAACAGAATTTAACGTAATTTTAAAAATATAAAAAATTTAGTACAATTTCATGAATTTGGGACAATTTACCGTAATAATAAATGAATAAATAGTCAAAGAAGGGATCCCATTCAAAAGCACGCAGTGCGTCAACGACGGCGACCTTGGCGACGAAGACCTCTCTCCATCATCAGCCATTAAATTTCAGGCGCTCGACGCCAAAGTTTTAGTAAGGATCCTGTTTATTACGAAACTTTCGTCCGAGACAGAGGGAGTAATTGCTTTTAATTTATTCTCTTGTTTACTAATTTTTAGCATTTCTAATTTCTTTGTTTCGATCAAAGATCGATATATTTTTTGAAAAGGACACAGTCAAAATTTGAAACCATAGCTCCGACGTCGGAGCTCTCGTCCAAGATCGACCTTCGACGCCATTCTTCGTCGGACTGAGACATATCGATCCCACATCCGAACAAATATCACCCGTACAACCAAACCGTATCGATCAAACTACCTTCGAACAAATATTTACGAGAGAGACGTCAATTCCACATAATAATCGAATCGAGAAAAAGAATTACTGCTTTGGTGCTATTTGGGAGAAGCTGAGACACTGTTCCTCAACAAAGGCTCGAGAGCTTTTACGACGATGCTCATGTGCGGACGGAATGCAGCTTCGTATTGAACGCACAGCCCGCAAATCGCAGCCATCTGCATTTCCCGAATTACGATCAATTTGCTTTACAATGCTCGATGAAAGATTTTAAAGGATTTGTACTATTCACACAAATATTTTCTCTTAAAAATATCAAATCAAACTACTATTCTTTATTTTTTTATATTATTTTAAAAATCAATTTTACATTCAAAACATCGCATCAATATTTATTTATACACACTCCAAACAAACACACTCGTATATTTTGCGATCAAAGAATTGGAAATTGAGTGGTAAGTACCTTTGCAGCCGCCTTCGGAGGGTAGTTTCCGTTGAGTCGCGCATCGACAATCTGCTTTACCTTTTCTTCACTCAGCCTTGGCGTTGCCTGTTTAGAAATTCGATACAGTACGACTTTGCTTAGCGCTATGATAAAAAAGGTAAATTGTATTATACTCCTTCCGTCCAGCTCTAAGGATTACATTTACTTTTTGCATGCTGATATTTGAATATTAATTACTAAAATATAATACAAATTAAGATGAAAAATTGCAAAATTACTTCTATCAGTGTCTTATAATAATGACATTTGTACAAAAAAAATATATAAATATAAAAATATTTTTAATGTTAAATACAATAACGCAAAGGGTAAATATAAGTCTTAGAGACGGACGGAAAAAGTACATGCTTTGTTTTATTATAAATGAGTGAAATAGGCGCAAAACATCCTTTTGGATGATTTTAAACACGAGCCTAATTACGGAAATAAACAGAATAAAATGTCTTACATATCTTTCTTTTAATGAAATAAATAAATGAAAATTTTAAAATAAATAAATGAAAAATTGATCAACCATTCGTTTCACAGTTTGTAAAATAAAGACGAACCTAACTTATTTTTACAACTGTAAAATAAAGGCCTGATCAAATTTTCATATATTTATTTTATTCAAACAAAATCCTATTTAAGACATGTCGTCCCATTTATTTGGGTAACATTTGCATAACTAAACTTATATTTACAACCAAAGAATGATTTGTATATATTTTAATACAACACGAAGGATTCTCTTAATAAATAAAATACGAAATGTCTTATGCATTTATACTAAAATACCGATGATAAAATGATGTGTTAAATTCCTATAACCCGAAGATTATATCTAAAATTCACATAGAATCATCTCAACGAGGATTAATGATCAAGCCGAGTAGGCTCGAGCTGATCTAATAAACAAAGAACTTAGAGTAAGACTCGACTGAGGACAAATTCGATATTTCCAGTGAATTAAAGATGCCATTTCTTAATTCAGAATGCAAAAACTCGATTAACAACTCTAGGGTGGTATAATATTTGCTCGTATATTCAGTGAGAAAAGTGCGTACCCATGTCACGAGACTTTGTTGTCCCCTCGGCCTCGTGGGATCGATTGGTTTACGGCCCGTCAAGAGTTCCAGGAGTACGACACCGAAGCAATACACGTCGCTTCTCCAGCTCAACAGCCCCGTCATCGCATACCTACAATTGAACAATTATTTCAGTTCATCGGGTTCGATTTTCGGGGAAAGTCTTGAAAAAAAAAAGAGGATATGTACTCCGGGGCATGATAACCAAAAGTCCCAACAACACGAGTCGAATGAAGACAGGCTACGATGTCATTGGGTGCATTAGATAAATCGATATCAGCAATCTTAGCGACATTATAATCATCAAAGAGTAAAACATTGCCGGAGCTGATGTCGCAATGCATCTGCGACTTATCGTGAATGTATTGCAGTCCTTTTGCAGCACAAATGGCTATTTTAACTCTTTCGCCCCATGAAAGAACCCGAGCTTGCTCGGGACCTGCTCGCCCTGTTTAAAAAACTAAAACGATTAGTTACAAAGCAAAGACATTAACATCTTTGATTGTGTTCTTTTTGTGAGTTTTACCACAGATTTTTGCTATTCAGCTTCTTTTTTGCCTCTAAAAATATCAAATCAAACAATTACTTTTTTTTTTTATATTCCCTCGGTCCCTTAACAATCTAAACATTTTTCTATTTTGGTTTGTCCCATAACAAAATATCCACTTCCTTATTTAGTAACGTTACTTTCTACTAACATTAAAAATACCCTTGCAACTTATAATATATTACACAAATATGATTACCTTTATATCATATAATACTAATAAGGTTATTTTAGTATTTTCTATTTTATTCATACCACACCTCAATATTCCTAAACCAGACGGATAGATAAGATAAAGGACGGAGCGTTGTAAACATCACATCAACATCTATTTATATCACATCAAACAACTATTAGAATTCAACTTTTTACTATTCAAAAATTCAAACCCAAAACCCCAAACCCACAAACAAACACACCCTTCTAGATTCAAAAAACAGTTATCGGCATAAATACTGACCGAACTTACCATGGAGAAGTTGATGCAGGGATCCATTTGGAGCATATTCATAGGCCAAGACTCGAAGATTATCATCGACACAGTACCCAAGTAGCTCGATCACATTCTCGTGCTTCAGACTAGAAACTGTTGCAACCTACGAAACCGTTAAATCGTTATTACAAGAGTTGTTAAAAATGCAAGCAGCAATGACAAATCAACAACAGATCAAGTCATAGGGATAAAACCTGTGATAGGAATTCTTGGTTGGGCTGGCTGCTAGAGTCGAGCTTTTTAATTGCTGCCGCACGCCCGTTCTTCAGGACTCCACGGTATACCCTTGCATAGGAACCCTCACCAATGAAACACCTTGTACCAAAGTTAAAAGTAATTTCCTTTATTGTTTCCAGTGGGATGACAGGAGCCAATATTACCGGGAGATTGCTAGCCGGGGCCTCCGACTCTACCATTGCCGCTGCCACGGGGGCAATGTTCTCTACAGAGTTACCTGAAGATAAAATTTCGATAAGTGAAGAAGAGTGTGATATAGCTCTAAATAAATCGTATTTACTTTGTGGCTGTTTCTCTGTTTTACTGGATGGCTTGATTTTGTTCCAAAATGTCTCCCAAGTACGACCCCGTGATTGTTTGTGTGTCGAAGCTTTTCTCGCATCTTTCTTAGGCTCATCTTTCTTCGTAGGTTGAGGTTCGGGTTTCTTTGTAGATGAAGGCTCGGCTTCCTTTCCAAATACAGGTTCATCTTTAACCATTTCAATTTCAGGTTTCACGGCCGGAGGGGGTGTGACATCCGGCGAATCAGCAGAGGGTGATCGAGGCTGTTCCCCACCGCCTGTTACATTAGCTTCGCCATTAGCTTGATGGACATCATCCAAATCACTTACTATCTCGTTCGATCCCAGAGATATTAAATTGTCCTGCTGCTCGAGCGCAAACTCAAGCTGCGCCACGACTTGGGACATACTTGGCCTGTTCTTCGGCTCATCGTGTAAGCATCTTTCAGCAATCCCTACAAATACCTTAAGGCTTTCAGCCGTTATTTCGCCCTGCAGATTAGAAGCTACGATCCGGTCAGCTTGTCCCTTGCTAATGCTTTCTCGAGCCCACTTGATCAGAACATGCTCGTCTTCTGCTGCTGTGCGATCCAACGCAGGTCTACCGCACAACACTTCCAGCAACACCACCCCGAAAGCGTACGTATCACTTTTCTTGGTTAGTTTACCCGTTATAAGATATTTCGGATCAAAGTACCCGACCGTACCTTTCACCTTCGTGCTGATGTGACTGTGCAAACTGCTTCGATGCAAATGCTTGGCTAACCCGAAATCGGAAATCTTAGCTGTAATATTATCATCCAGAAGGATATTCGATGCCTTTACATCTCGATGTATGACTGAGTGACCAGCGTGAAGATAGTCTAGTCCTCTAGCAGCTCCGATGCATATGTTGAGGCGCTGTTTCCAGTTCAGCGACAAACTATCACGGCCATTTCTTGCGTGCTTGTAAAGATGGTCGGCCAATGTTCCGCTCGTCATGAGACTGTAAACAAGAATCATTTCCCCACGTTCCTTGCAAAAGCCGACTAGAGATACTAAATTAACATGACGGAGCTCAGTTAGCGTTTCAATCTCTGTCAAAAACTCGGCAGCCCCTTGTTTGGAGCTTTGTTTTAGCCGCTTTATGGCTACATTTAGCTTCCCGTTGTCAACAACACCTCGGTAAACTTTTCCAAATCCACCCCTCCCGATGAGATGTCCTTCGCTGAAATTTCTTGTGGCTAATTGGATTTCTGCTAATGAGAATCGCCGGCAAAGTTGTGTAGCCCTTGCTGATGGCATGTTTTCCTCCGGCATACTTTCAGCTTCTCGAATCATTTTCAGCATATAAACTATAACATTAACCACAGAGAGCAATACTATTAGCAGAGTAGCAATTGCATTTTCATGGCCGAAAACCTGGATGAGATTCTTGAACATCTGGTATGATGAATCCTGTGTTGAAGGCACCGGATTCGGACTGGCAAGACTGTTCTCAAGGTTGCTCAGTTTCAATACTTCGAATCCTTCAAGGGGTCCATTTTCATCAACAAATTCATCCTTTGACTCTAAGTAAATCAAGAGATTGCGTTTACCCTCCTGTTTGCAACCTTTCATGTTCAAAGCATAGTCCCTATACCGTCGAATGCTGCTAGCTTCATCATCCTTTTCTATGGCTGCAGAAATCTTAGTATCAACAATCATATCATCAATGCTAATCCTTAGAACATTATTTTCCGCCATTTTCAATCCTAAATCGGAATAATGAAGTCTGACTAAGTATCTGAATCCCACATCCACAGATATTTTCCAAGTAACATTGTTGATCTTGTTTACTTTTCTGTTATGGACCTTTTCCCACATCCCAAATATGTGGGCTGCATCATTAAGAGACGATGATACAGATTCTCGTTTTATATCTGTTCGGCTAATTATTTCAAATGCAGTACTGCTGTCCATGTAAATTGGAGACTCTCCCACAACTTGAACTCCAATATTTTCCATATGGAAATAAGAACGACTAGCCGGCACTGAGATGATCTCAATGCCATTAATGAAAGCATATGCATCAGATAAATGATTACTTGCAGAGAATGTTAGGTCAAGCAGCTTATTTTCTCCTAAGTTCAAACAGAATTCCTTAACAAAATTGTTCACACCATGAGCATCAGCAGTAAAGGAAGCGCTAAAGTTGCTAAGCAAAGTGAAAGCGGCAGCTTTGACTGTGAAAAAATCCTTGTACCTTTTGAAACCTTTATATGAAGCTGAATTAAAGTGAAGGCGGATGATTTTCTGACCTGGGTTCACTTGAAATACATAGGAGAACTGGGAACGAGAAACCCGAGCTGTCCTGTAAGGAACTGGATTGTCACCATAGACAAACCTCTGGCTGACACTAGAGGTTGTTGACGAGCCCCTAACATGCAGAAATGGTGCGAACTTTTTCTGTACATCTCCGCACCATTCCCTTCCACTCTGAGCAGTGAAAGTGCCACTCGACCCGCAATCAACAGATACATCATCACCTGTGAATCGAGTTGGGTTACAGAAAGCAGTTCTGAATGCAATAAAACATTGAAGAAACAGAAAAAAAATAAAAACTGGATACAGATTCATGTCAGAAGGCTGTATTCAATTTCAAAAGAACAATGATTAGGGATAAGTTTACAATCTCAAGGCTTCAATTATATTCTCATCTTCTAAGTCAATGTTGACCATAACATAGTATTGTTTGATCTTTAGCTGGCATCTTCCCCCGTCACTTTCTAAGACTCTAAAGTAAAGGTTTGGAAGGGCCCTCTTGGCCCTCTTGTATTTATCAGAATATAAAATTTATAACAAACTTGAATGTAAAAGAAAATGACTTTCTTGGAAACTTCAATCTTAAAAGATGAAGACATACCTGGTACACGGTTTCACATTATTTGCAACCTGTTTCTCTTAATAGAAAGAATCTTCCTTTGGCCTCCACTGTTCGGGTGTTCCTGTCTAGATCCTACATAAGCCCAACAAACACCAAATCCAAGCAGAATTTGATCACATAGTTCATCTACCTTTCTCAAGGAAACCGAGCAGGATTGCATATCAACAAAGGATTTAGGAATGAAGTTGAACAGTCGAAAAATAAAATGATCATGATTTAAGTGGAAATTCAAAATGGGAGAAAACCACAAGGAATGGAAGCAATCACCAAAACAAAAGGCGAATACAGAACATACGATGATCTCAACTCTCTCAGTGCTTCGTCGATGCACTTGATATACTAATTAGTAATTACAATAACAGACGTAGTCCCGGAGCCAAAATATTGAATATTCACAGCTTATGGAATCCATTCAAACCATTATCTAAGTGGAAGAATACATTTCTCACATTGAGAAGCCATATTTTACATTTTGCAAACCTTCACAACTCAACAGATTACAGTAATTTGTGTGACCAATCCCTTTCGTCACTGCAACAAGAATTAGAAAACGGGAGAGATCCTGAACACTTAGCTAGTAGCCGAGCAAATTGCAATCAAAAGCAATCTCTACTAACAACCACTCCCTTGTTCAAACCCACCACTCACTATGTTCAATGGACTTTCCAAACCTAGAAACCTGTTCATCGTAATTTTGCCACTCAAGACTGTCCCGAATGAAGTGAAAGTGATGATGTCTGATAGCCACCATACCGATTCAATCCTGTCAAAGTGTGCTACTGTGAAGTTAGAACCATAATCAATCAGTGACTGAGATCGAATTACAGAAAAATCGATTTAATTGCAAATATACCTGCTGCGCATTATATGCCTATTTCTCTCATCCGCCGGAACCCTACTCCGGCGGCGGTCCGATCTGCCGGACGGCGAACACAGCCTTGCTCCTGCCGAATATATTCTTCACTCTCGCCCTCATAGCCCCAACCTCTTTCGAAACGCCGATGAGCTTAATCTGTCCACCAAAAGCTCTCTGGAAGAAATTCCGCGCCCTAACCTCCGCCGCCTGATTCAAATACCCAACGATTACATCATCGCCGTCGCGCACCACGTCGCGAATCTCGACTATAAACTCCTTGACCACCTCGTCTTTGTGGCGAATCCTCGCGGAGTCCTTGAGGAGCGCTTTGAGGAGGCGGATGTCGTTGTCCAAAATTTCGACCTGACTCTTGCCGTCGCGGATCAACTTGGCGTTGTAGAGCAGAACCCGCTTGAGATACTCGAGCAGGAACACTACAACCATGGATTTGTCGGGATCTGTGAGCTTGTGCTTGGGCGTGCGGGAGCGAGTGAAGAAGTAAACTCCGGCTAGGGTTAGGAATTTGAACGCCAACAGTAGCTGCTGCCTCATGTCTCCGATCCGTAATCCAATCAATTTCTTCTTCCGAATTCAGTCCGATCGTACAGTTGTGAAGCTGATTCGAGTCGATCTGGTAGTTGACATTGACTCTCAGAGTTCGAACTGTGCATATTGCAACGCTATCTTCTCGCGCACGTGTTTCTTTTCAGTAATTGTGCTTTGAGGTTTGGAATAAGGTCTCATTTCAGTTTTACTAAGGATGCGTCTTTTTTTTTTTTTTCTTTTTTTCTGAGAGTTTGGGCTAACTCGATTGATAGATTTAGACAAAATTTTACTCTTCATCCAAACTTTTTTCCCTAAAATTATCAAATCAAATATTTATTTTTTATTTTTTATATTATACTAAAAAATCAATTTTACATTCAAAAAATCGCATCATCACCTATTTATATTACATCATACAACTATTTAAATTCAAAATTTTTACTATTTAAATCTCAACTCAAAATCTAAACCTCCAAACAAACACACCCTTATGATTTTAAGATGAGTTTGAAATTTGTATCTCTTTAGATTATACTCACTTCGTTCAATTGGAAGGGTAAAATTTGTTTTTTACAAGTAAATTTTTTAATATTAGATTGTAGTAAAAACAGATAAAAATATCTCTATTAGTACGGTGTAATATAAAAGTAATGGTATTTGTGTAATGTATTGTAAATTAAAATGATATTTATTATGTTAAGTATATAGTACAGTTGCTAAATTAGGAAATTGTAACCTTATGGAAACAGACTGAAAATAGAAAATGATAATCTTTCAGTGAGACTGAGGGAGTATTTGATTTGAATTTGAAAGTTTTAATGTATATTAATTTGATATGTAAAAGATAAAATAAAAATAAATGTGTATTAGATTAAATTTATAAAATTAAGAATAATAATAATAATAATAATAATAATAATAATAATATGATTTAAATATTAAGTTGCGTTAATTATAAATAAATATTTATATTATACAAAATGATATAATATATATATACTAACGTGTAATTTGTGTTAGAGTTATTTTTATACTATTAAATTAATTTAATATTTTTTATAAAAAATATCATAATTATATATATAATATATTATTCGAATCAAATCAATTTAAAAAATAATATACACAATAAAAATTAAAAAATATATAATTAAAAAAATACATGATAAGAATACAATAAAAATAAAATTTTTATATGTTCAAATTTATTATAATTTTTTTATGACTTTTTCAAATATTGTTTTAAATAAAAAAATTTAAAGACTTAAACATAGTCTACAAAATTAAAAAATATATTAAAATATTATACGAAAAATCAAGTTAACATTAAAAAATACATATATAACTAATAATAAAAAAATTATTAGTAAAAAAATACAATAAATAATTAAAAAATACATACATTTTCTATTTGATTCTTTCTTTTTGAGTTCTTTTCTAATTTTTTTTATCTACACATAATAGATTAATAGAACCTAAAAAGGATATATAACAATAAGAATAACAAAAACAATATAATACGATAGTTGATTTATACATAATCAAGTTAATTTTTTTTAAAATTAAACAAAAATAATTATTGCAAGAATTTGAGCGTGTATATTAATAGGAAACGTAATTCCTTACAAAAATATGAAAAACAATAATGAAATATATTGTAAATAAAATATAAAATATACGAAAAAATTTAATATGAAAAATCTTTTAACATAAAATAAAAATCACTGGTCAACCAAATCAAAGAATAAAATATACCATGATCAAATTGTATATAAGAGTACTTTCAAGAATGCATGTAAACACACCCCAATCACCACTGTATCAATCGATGTAAATCATAAACTTAATAAAAATTAAAATCAAAATTATAAACAAAACAATCTATCACATTATGTAAAATTTTGGTCGAACTACAAATATCTAATCGCAAATTTTACCGTTGAATTGAAAGATCAACGAATCACAAACACTTTCTGAAAATTTTAGCTTGATCAGAAAATTGACAAAATATCGATATTGTTTTTCTTGTACCAAATAATTAAAGAAAATATATTAGTATAAAATATATATATATATACAATATTTAAAAACAAAACCAAAAATTATTAGAGCGCGCGAGTTAAAATGTCTTGTCAAATATATATGTATGATATGACATGATTGTACATATTTTATTAAATTATTACTCCCTCCGTCCCATATACTATGTCCACGTTGCCGTTTCTGTCTGTCCCACATACTATATCACTCTCCTTTTTTGAAAAATGGTTACACATTTTAATCTCATTTTAAATTTTTAAATTTTATTTTTCAAATTTTAATTAAATTAATTAGTTATCTTAATCTTAATTTATAATTATTTATATTATAGGATAATTATTTTCGCTAATACATTCTTAATTATCTACTAATTACATCCCTCCTAAAATACCATGTCTACAGTGTAGCAGACACGGTATATGGGACGGAGGGAGTATTATTATAAAAAATAATTAGATAATTATTCTACTACTAATTTTTGCGTGATTGTCCAAACGTGGCTGTTTTTTCAAATAAAAATGTATCAAACAAAAATTGCAGATAAATAAAAATAGAGAATGATAAAGCTATTTGGATGGATCAATCAAGAATATATGATCAATCGGTAAAAGGAAATTTTAACGAATGAGAATTAAGGAAGAATTATTTTTGGTATTTTTTGTTTAAATAATAAATTAAATACGATATTTTTGTAAGATCAAATTTTAGTTTAATTTTTAAAAAATAGTAAGGAAAAATAAATATTTGAAAATAATAAATTAAATATGATGTTTTATAAAATTAAAACAATATAATTTAAAAAATATACAAATTAGATCATACAAAAAAAATAAAAAATAAAAATAAATATACAATTCTCTGTATTTATCTGTATACGACAAAAAAAATAAAATCATAGAATAAAAAGGAATTTGTTTCTCAACTCTCAATTACTTGGCTCAACCTAAAAAAAATAAAATTATTTTCATTTTCTGACCTCATTTCGCTGTATGAAATACACCGTTATTGAATTCACGGTGGTCGTGCCAAAACTACTATACACAGTAATTGCGCAATAGTTTTGACCAAATCCTTCCATACCTTTAAGTTTGAATTTAAATTGAATTATATAACTTTATAAAGAATTTTGATATTATTTTATTTTCTAAGGTGTGTAATTTTGATTTGACTTTAATATGTATTGATTTGATAGATAATAATTGTAATGATATAAATATATATTAGTAATATTTATATTGTGAGGGTGTGTTTGTTTTATTCCCGGATCTTTTGATTTATCGAACAAACCTCGTATATAAAAAACGAAATTAATTAGGAATAACGGAAGCGAATTAACTCGAATAAAACCAATACCGAATCGAAATAAAATTAAACACAAAGAATTAGAATTATGCAAAAACATTCTGGAAATAGGAAAACAAAAATACAAACGAACAGGCCTTGAATGAAATTAAACAAAAAAGACTTCCAGCTTCGTCTTCTTTACGAGAGAATTGAAAATTGCGGAACTCCTTATTTTCCGCCGACGACGAACTCTTCCGACGATCTATGATCGATGGCGTTTCATTTCCGGCGAACAGCGGCAACTTGGTTCTCCACTTCTCTTACAGCAGTCCTTCCGGTGACTGGCAGCGTGCCTTTGGAGTTCTTCTCCGACGAACAGATTCGGATTCTGTCACGGAAATAGCCGTAGGCACACCAATCTTCTTCGATCTTTCACCGGCGGCGAAGGGACGGCGGATATCGGCTCAGTCCATGGTGTGAAGTGGCCCGAGGTAATCACGCCTCAAAGTTGGAGGTCGGCTTGTCACTCCAAGCCTCGATGCCCACCGGAATCGGTACAAGAAAAGAGTCCCGAACTTCACCGGGAACTCACCGGAATCTCTCGGCTCACCGGAACTCCAGTCGCGGTTCTCTCTCTCTCTCTCAATCTCTATGACTCGGTTTTGGTGTTTCTCACTTCTCTAAAGGGACCCTACCCAAAAAAACCCTTTTTAAACTAACCTTTAATAATTTCCCCAAACTAAAAAACCACCCACTGTTATAACCTACATAACAACCTAATAAATTGACTTAGGGTTTGATATATGAGTTTGGGTTAAAGGGTTTGGGTCGAATCCGATGGGTCGGGCTACGAAGTGGGCCAACTAATTATTTATCGAAGAATTTGTCGGATTAGGCCTCGAACGGTCAAAATTCCCAACAGGTATATATAATCGACCGTATCGAATGCAAAAAAAAAGAAAAAAAAAATCAAATCCTGTATGTGTATAAATATCGATATTACTTGGACATCTCTGTACAATATAAATACATTGAACATTGTTATATGTATGATCACTTATAGGTTACGGGAAAGTACTTTGTGGCTTCGGCAAAACTGATAATGTGAATGCATAGTCGCCTTACGCTATCTACCTATCTCGATGGAGATTGTAAAAATGCCGTGACTCTAGAAGAAAACTCGAAGTCGGGCATCCGTTGTAGCTTTCATCCCACAAACAACACGGGAGATTCCCACATCTATATCTCGAAATCCCTCAATGTGAAGTTTGAAACGATTGTGCCCTCGTGCGCTAACTCCACAGTGTGGTGTATTAGTGATCCCAATATCAAAACACTTGCACGAGTAATACGTATTGGAGGGGTTCTAGGTAATTCCGGGTGTAGCACTTCTCAAAATTGGTTCAAGATCGAGCTTGGTAACTCTCCATATACCTACAAGTTTGTGTCGCACCCTAATGATGTATGTGGCGATTCGGATGTCTCCAATTTTCATATTGTGAGACTCGACCCATGGCCCCGTCCAAGACCTTTGGTTCTCTCTGATAACTTGATGAGATTTGAAGTGAAGTTCATTAAAGCAAAGAGTGTTGATCATATATATATATGTGCACTCGTGCAAAGAAAGGCTACAAGGCATCGCATGTGGTTGATTTCTTCTATCGCTTTCTATACTCCCCCCCCCCCCATTCGATAAATATTGTAGTGTCACCTAGTTATCTTTCAATTGTTTCGATATATAATCATCGCCATTTTCCTTTTACTTTAGATTCGTCTTGTTAATGACGTTAAATGAACGTTTCACCTAAAAACTTAAATTTGAAAAGATATGCATGGTGTATTTACTTATATACTATAGGAGTCAACCAACACGCTCCTCCACATACAAGGTGAATATATGCAACTTACGAATGAATGGCAATGAGATTCGAACATGGAACATTTTGACTTTGATATCATGTTAAATGATCGTCTCACTTAAAAATTAAATTTGAAGGGATACATATCATCTATTTATTTATATATTACGAGAGTCAACTAACACGTCTCCCATATACAAGGTAGATATACACCACTTAAAAATCTTGCTAGTAGTCAATGGTGAATGAGTGGCAACAACTTTGATACCATATTAAATGGTGCTACAAAATCGTCTCAGTTTAAAATTTAAACTTAAAGGGATACAAATTTTGCTTCTCAGCTATATATATCATTTTTTCTTGTGCCAAGACAAGACATTTTTAAATGGTTCTACTTGACTATTTCAATTTGGTTTTTAATTTTAAAATAGTTAAATTACGTGTAATTTAGATTTGTGCATGCAGTTTTTAATGAATTTTATTCCATTATGAAAGTCAAACGTGTATATGCTTATTTTATTAAAATTTTATTTGAGTTTTTCAATTCGCTTTAAAGTGGAACGATTCTCCATAAATAATATTAAAAATATAATACAACATATATGATTAACAATTCAATATAAAATATTATTTTTATATTAATAATATAATTTTCTATACCTAAAAAAAAAAAAAAAAAAAAAAAGAAAACATTCATCCAAAAATATGAACGAACTCTTTGTCTCTAATTCATTCACTACCTTAATTTGCACTTTGCACGCCAGCTACAATTATTATTACATCATTTATAATTATATATCCAATTTACTACTCACTCAGTCCACAAACTAACGTCCAACAATTATTGTCCTCTTTTTATTTTTATACGCAAAATTTACTTTTTTTACTTTTATTTTATTTACTATTTTATTTTTTATACACAAAATTAAAGGCAAATTTGTCATTTTATAACAAAAATTCTAATTATCTAAAAATGCGTGTAAATATCAAATAGAACATTAAAAAATGAATAGATAGAAAAAAATTTCTCTCCTATTTTATGAAGATATATCCTTTATTTTTCTAGAGTTACGCTATAATTATTTATTTTATGTAAGACCATCATAACTCATCTACAATTATATTTTCATGATAAATAAATATTTTCTATATATTTTATTTTATATAATTTTTTAAATTTAGAAATACCATTCAATATTTTACAATATTTATATACTAGTGCTATAATGATACTTATTCTATATTAATATAAAATTATATCAATAAATTAATTTTTTTAATATCATTAAACAATACTATGTACGTACAATATCATTGAATACTCCAAAGTACTTTTTAGGTTTTATAGTAAAATTAATATATAATTATATTTAATTGGTTAATGAAAGTATGTAAAATATTTTAATATTTTTATCTTTTAATTTTATGTATAAATTAATTATATATATAATAATATATTTGTAATTTAAATAAAAATTAAAAGTATTTTTGTATTAATGTATAATTATTTTAACTAAAAAAAATATAATTTTGAGTTTGACAAATTGAAATGATAAAAATGTACACTATATAGTTTGTAACTAATTCAAATATCTCACTCATTTATTTCAAATTATTCTCTCTCTCTCTCTCTCTATATATATACATATATATAAAATCTTAAAAAAATTATCCGTCGGACCTAGTTTGCAGGGTATTAGGTCCGGTCGGGGGTTTATCCAGTGCGTACTTTTCGGGTAGCGGCGGCAGGTTCTCACAGTGTAAAAAAAAAAAAAAAAAAAAAAAAAATCTTGAAAAAATTATAATTAATTAATTAATTCCAAGGCCCATCCAAATCAAGTCGTATCTGGTTTTCCCAGTTGAATATGGTGAGAGTTTAATTAATGTATGCAAAGCATGCAAGTTACTAATTAATTAATTAGATCGAAGATTATATATGGGATTTGCTGTACATTTGAATTTTTTGATAAAATATATATAGTAACGTGCAGCTGAGTTGGAAGAATTAAATGCAAAATTTAATCATATACTGGTAATTGATTATTAAATTTAGGTAAAATTGCTCATAATTCTCATGTAATTTCAAAATTTTGTGTAAAATTTCTCACTTTAAAAATTGGATGATACTCCGTATACTTTTAAAAAACGTTGCATGAAACTTCACCTCATGAAACGTGTGTGGTGTGATGGAAAGATAATTTTCTATTCAGATTTTTGCAGACGCATGCAATATTTTTTAAAGTATAAGGAGCGTCATGCAATTTTTTAAAAGTAAAGTGGAGATTTATTATGAGTTTTGAAAGTAATACTTTCTTGTCCCACTTAATTTGTCTACTATTTCTATATCCGTCCGTCCAACATAAATTGTCTATTTTTTTTGGAAATATAATTATATATTTTAATCATATTTTAAAATTCATAATTTATAATTTTTTTATTTTAATTAAACTATTTAATCATTTTAATCTCAATCTATATTTATTTTTATTTTTATTATATCACAATTATTTTTATTAATACACTTCTTAATTACTTACTAATTACACCCTACCTAAAACTCCGTGCCCAACTAAAGTAAACAAATTAGCTGAGAAAGAGAGAATATATTTTTTTTGTAAGTTTAATTACACTACATATTATAAATATTTTCAAATTTACACTTATTTACATCAGTATCATTATATCAAATTAAAATATAACATAAAAAAGTCTTTTGCAGGCAAAAAATGCCATGGACTACTATTTAAGTATTATTATCTCTTAATCTCTGTATATATATATATATATATATATTGTAAGTGAACAAGAGAGAGCACTATTAATAAAAATGAATGCATCATTTGCTTGCTCGTCTATAAAAAGACCATATACATATGATAGAGTTGATTTGTTTGTAATGAAGTCCCTTCACATAGTCCTTTTCTTATTGTTGTTATTGTTCCCTTTCACCTACAAAACTATTGCTCAACTTCAACAAGATAATCTAGTTCGAGATCACAATGGGAAGCCCCTCGAGGTAGGTACCCTAAATTTAAGCATATATAATTGATCGTATCAAATTAAATAGACCATATTCTTTTGAAGTTTGATTTTGATGTACTTACTATTTAACTGTCGTGATTTTCAAAACACCACATTCAAAAAGAAAAAGCTAAAACTTTTAAAAGAGCACACTCATAAACTTCGATCAGTTTGGTGTTTATATATATATATATATAAATTACTTGAACATCTCGGTATGATGTAAATATATTGAACGTTGTTCTGATTCATAATAGGTCACGGGAAAGTACTTTATTGTTGCCACAAAAGTTGTAATGGGCCTTAGTAGGAAGCTTACGCTATCCATCTATCTTGAGGGAAACTGCAGAAATGCCGTGACTCTAGCACAAGCTTTCCAACCCGGCATTCCATGTAGCTTCCATCATGCAAAAGCCACGGGAGATTCTTACATCCATATCTTGAAATCCCTCAATGTGAAATTTGAAACAGATACCCCATCGTGCGCTAATTCCACAGTGTGGCGTATCAGTGATCCCGATGACAAGACACATGAACGTGTAGTGCGCATTGGAGGTGTTTTAGGTAGCCCCGGGTGTAGCACTTCCCGGAATTGGTTCAAGATCATGACGGGTGATTCACCAAACACCTATAAAATTGTTTCGCACCCAAAGGATGTTTGTGCCAGTCCGGGCGCCGCCATTTTTCATAATTTGAGACTCAACTTTCATCCCTTTAAAAGACCTTTGGTTCGCTCAGATGACTTGAACGGATTTGAAGTGTACTTTGTTGAAGCTTAAAAGCGTCGATCATATGTATCTATGCGCGCTTGCGCAAACAATGGCTAAGAAGGGAAGACTGTATTTGTTTGCGGATTTGAATTTTGAGTTTGAATTTGAATAATTGTGTTGTTGTGATGCTTTTGAATATAAAATTGATTTTTTAGAGTAATATAAATTAAAAATTAAAAAAATATTTTTATTTTATTATTGTTTGGGAGAAAAATTAAGTAAACAATAAAAATCTTGTGAGAAATCGACGAGAAGAGAACATAGCCATAGTGATTGATTTCTTCTATCACTTTCTATGCTTTCTTGTCTATTAGTATCGATCATCTTGCCCAATCTTTGGACTAGACTTGTGTGAATGGTGTTGGATTTAATAATAATAATAATAATAATAATAATAATAATAATAATGGATTTCACCAATTAATCTAATGGGTTTTGCATCTAGAAAGTATGCACTTATGAAATATATTTTAAACCAAATTAATTTAACAAGTTATTTTCCAAACTTAATTTAATTGATATTGTACCGAACTACTCAATATATTGAGAATTACAATATAAAATATCAATTTATACTCCTCCTCCAAAATAAAAAATAAAAAAATCAAAAGTTATCATAGTTAAAAATAATAATAGAAATATATTTATAATTTTATTTATCTTAATTTATTTCTAATATTTAATTATTTCATTTTATTGTACAATATATACCAAAATTTTGGTATATATTAAATTTTGACAGAATAACGATCAGTGATGAAACTAGCATCTAAATTTGAGGGGGTAAAATGTTATAATTTATTTAATGTTTAGCTAATAAATTTAAATAAATAATAGTGACATAATTATATATGAATTTAGATAGTTTTGAAAAGAAAGAGGAAAAATTGTATATAAATACATAAAAATTAATATTTTTTATACTAAAAAAATTATAAAAAATTTGACTTGGGGTCAATTGACCCCCAAACCCTAGTGTAGTTTTGTCCCTTATTGTGGTATGAAAAATTTATATAGTTAATGTACCAAATATATAATATTTTTGATATTTTTTTTATATAATTTGGACAACATTTTCAATTTTTTATTATTATTATTTTTTTTCACTCCTATTTGTGACAAACCTATTTAAACAGCATCTCATTCACCTTATTTTAAAAATAAAAAATTGAAAACCAAAAACAAAAACTCTCTATCTTTTTTTTTTTATTATTTAAATGCAAAACCCTTTATAATTAAATAATTAGATGGAATATTATTGGGAGTTGCATGCATCCAAATTAATGAGAATCGCATTAAGTAAATAATTGTTACCTGTCACACTACATTTGAATTTAAATAAAATATATAGTAACATTTTCTTGTAAGGTGTGATTGAATTGATGTGACATCGAGATCATAATTCAAATATTGTAGACTTTCAAAACTCATCCTAAATAAAATACAATTACATCGATTAATGAATTAATAAATCACATTGACTCCAGAAATATAAATAAATCCAACAATAAATAATTAATTATTTTTAATTATCTTATTATTAATTATACTGCAATTTCAAGAATTAGATTGTATACTACTCTTTATGTCAATATTATTTTTTTTAATGTCCACTAAGGGTGTGTTCGTTTGTAGAATTTCAACCAAATTCTACTATTCATCCAATTTTTTCCCCCCAAAAACATCAAATCAAATACCTATTTTTTATTTTTTATATTATACTAAAAATTAATTTTACATTCAAAACATCACATCAACACCTATTTATATCACATCATACAACTATTCAAATTCAAAATTTTTACTATTCAAATCCCAACTCAAAATCCAAACCCCCAAACAAACACACCCTAAATTTATATTTATTTTATACTCCCTCGGTCTTTTTTAATGTCCACTAAATTTATATTTAGTTTATACTCCCTCGGTCCCATCTACCATGTCCACATTGCAATTTTTGTCTGTCCCACGTCCCATGTCACTTTTTTTTTTTAAAAAAATGATTATACACTTTAATCTCATTTTAAACTTTTTAATTTAACTTGTTTTTAAATTTTAATTAAATTAATTAGTTATCTTAACCTTAATCTACAATTATTTATATTATAAGATAATTATTTTTACTAATACATTCTTAATTATGTACTAATTATACTTATCCTAAATTTTCGTGTCTACGGTAATCCAGACATCCAATGTAGGACGGAGGGAGAATATTATAAAAAAATTTATTTACCCATAATTTTATATTATTCATATTTTAACAAATAAGACTAATTTGTTACTATATTTTCTATTTACTCCATTATTATTATTATTATTTTTATCAAATTTTTAATAAATTTTGTATAATATTCTTATAGTTTACTTTTTACATGTTTCATTATAACATTAAATATTTTTATTTTTTAATCTTTATACTCAGATAAATTTATATAAATTTATCTAACGGAGATAATATAATTTTAAAAGTATGGATGGATATATATTGGACTCTTACAACTTAGGGGTTTTTTTTTTGTTGCATTGTTAATTATTTTACTATGCAATTTGTATTAGTTTGGAAAGTATGCATCATTTTCCATTATAATTTAAAAATTGTATGAGAATTTTTTATGTTTTCAAAACATTACATAAAATTCTTTTTTTCAAGGAAATTATGTGCAATGTTTTTTAAAATACAAGGGGTTTTATGCAACTTTTAAGAGATTTTGTAGAATATTTTTTAAAATACAATGGAGCATAATGCAATTTTTAATAATAATGGAGTATGATACAACTTTTTCAAATCACAAGTGAATTACACGAGCGGCTTAGCTACCCGTAGGACCGTCTTGGACTTTTTCGGATCTGAGCAAAAATAAATTATAGGCTTATAAACACACGATATATTTTTAAAATAATATCATTTAATCTAACGTAAGCTGGACAAGAGATTGAAGGAAGCAATGTGATTTGGAAGAAGATGAAAGGTGGATCGGCCGGCAATGCTTTACGTTGCTGTCCGAAAGTTTGAAGAGCGAGAAAACTAAGAGAGGGAGAAAGAGAGAGGGGGAGGCGGATTTGACCCGGGTGGGTGGATGGGCGCAGCACGGCGTGAAGGGAAGAAATATAGGCGAAGATTGTATTTGAAAAATAATGATAGAAAAATTATATGATTAGAGATTACATTTTAATTTTAAAAATAAAATAAAATATAAATTAAAATTTAAAATTTAATAATAATAATAAACTAACATTTTAAAAATATGAATCATCTCTTAATTAAGGATCTTGAACAGATGTTTATCGCTGCACATTACTCAAATAAATTAGCTTATATTTTTAAACATAATTAAAATAACAAATTTTATAATATAAACAAATGAAACACTTTTATTAAAAAGAAAAAAATACAAATATTTTTATTTACTATCTCCAAATTCGCAAACTAAACTACTTAAAGCTATTCGATTTTCTCAGGGCCTCGAAAATTCTACAAACCTTTTTTCCTAGTTTCAAACATAGAAGCTTCTCGCCGTCGAAAAAATCTACAAAGTTTCTACACGACAATTTTTAAACATCGAAGCTTCTCATCATTCCATCGCTAATTATCGGCTCTTCTTCCCTTTTTCTTTTAGGAACACACAAATTAGACATAGCTTTAGCCGAACTAACCTTTCTTACAAGCATTCTCCATCTCACAGCCTCCGCCCCGCGCAGTTCTTGATGTCCCTTTAATTTGAACTGTCTGTTGAAGAAACATAAGTAATGTTCGAAGAAATCAGAGGTGACAAAAATAAACACAACTCGAAAGCCCGGTCCAAGCACGGCACAAAAAAATTCGTGCTTGGAACTTTAAAAATAAGCCTGATCATTGTCTGGCCGTGCTTGGCTCAACCAGCTAATGAACTAGACCGTGCTTGGTCCAGCCCGGTTTTTAAATTTTAATAATTTATATATATATATATTAGTTTTTGAAATAAAGACAAAAATTAAAACATAGCTGGATGCTAAAAAAAAATAAACAACATAATTTGAATTTTTTTTTTAAAAAAAAAAGAAACCGGGCTGGCACGGCACAGTTTGGTTTCAAACCGGGTCGTGCTTGAGCCGGGCTTTCCAGGCCCTATTTGCAATCGGGCTGTGCTGGCCCAGCACGGCTTGAAATTGGTTCGGATTGGCCCGGCACGAGTAAACCGACCAGGCCTAAATTGCCACCCCTAGAAGAAATCGAAATTAAAAAAAAATCGAATATGTAGAATTTTGTTCCACCTGCAGAGAGGGACTCGGCAATCTTCGGATTGTTCACAGATCGACGAATGTAGCCTGAAAAGCTGCCACATTCGTTTGCAGCGCGAGCATCCGCCGCCGTTGGCCCTCTTTGAGCACGCGCCGAAGTGCTTGATGAGAAGCTGAATGCCGTGGCAGGTGGAGAACTTGCTGCACGGGCCTTTGGGCTTGCTTGGGCCCATGTCGGTCGGGCCGACGTTCGTGCATCCTTCCGAGCATATGTGCTCGAGACAATCCATCGCATCGCTTAGTTGGATGTACAGCTGTTGATCCTCCCGGCGCCTCCTCGACTTCTTCTTCCTCTGTTCCATTGTACAAAAACGATCGATCAATACGTAAAGAATATTATTCCTATACGATCGTCTAAATATATTATCGAAAAATATAATATAATAAAAACATACAAACTTCGTTTCATATACTCTTTCCGTCCCAATTTAAAGTATTATTTTTACTATTTTCGTCCATTTCACTCTAAAGTATCAATTTTCTAAAAGTAATCATATACTAACACCAAAAGACCTTTAACTTTTATCTAAATTACAAACATACTATTACACATAATTACTTTATACATAAAGTCAACAGAAAAAAATGTCAAAACCTCTTATATATTTCCGCTAATCAATAAAATATTATTACCTTCGTCCCATAAGAAAAATACCATGATTTTTTTGCGTGTTGATATTTGAATATTAATTATTATATCAATAATAGTACAAATCAAGATAAAATAACAAAAATATCTCTACTAGTCTCTTATAATACAAATACAATGACATTTATTGAATAAATTAAACACATATAAAGATATTTTTAATGTTAAATAAAATGACGCAAAAGACAAATAGTATTGGTTTTACGAGAGCGGATGTAGTTTTATATTTTAATTTACTACAAAACTCCAAAAGTTCGTGTGGGATGGAAGGAGTAATACTTTTACCATTCCTAATATCTCACCAAAAAATAAATAAAAAATAAAAAATACACTTTTAAATATAAATGCTAAACAAATACACTCAAATTATGAATAAACAAAAACATCAAATACAAGTATCATACATTGAGAAATTTATGCAAACTACATTACATAAATTTGAATAGTGAAGAAGTTGATTAGAATTGCAGGAAAGTTCAAACATCTAATTCCTACAATAGCAATTAACAAAGCCATTAATGGAGTAAAGACAAGCTTTATGAGAAGAATTTCGTTGCGAATAACCGAAAACATCAGATACAGATATCCTACATTGAGAAACTTAGCACAAATGGACACCAAATAGAGGTAAAAAAATAGTCTCGAATATGCAAACTACATTATATAAATTTGCATAGTGAAGAGATTAAAGTTAAATCATCTAATTCCAACAATTGCAATTATCAATTTAGCAAAGCTATTAACGAAGTAAGGACAAGCTTAAAAAAGTTTAATGTAAAGAAATGAGACTATGTACCGATTCAGCTTCATCGATGAACTGCAAGATCTCGAGCTCGAGCAAAGGATCATGGTTCTGCAAGAATTTCCAGCCCTCAGTGTCCTCAACAGCCTTGAAATGATTGGACAGCAATCTCATACATTTGAGATAGAGATCGGGAGCGTCGCAGAGTCTGGCGAGCTGAAGCATGTCCACAACGTTTTCCACAGTCACTTTTTTGGCTAATTCCTTTGTGCATCTCTGTTTTAGCTGCGTGACTATGTAGACATGGGAGAGTGCCAACAAATGAACGCCATATTTGTCCATTTGATCCTCAGTGCACCTGAAAGGGGAGAAGGGTAGATTAGTCTTTTCACAGGGGCTAGGGTTTGGGGGAGGTCGTTTTCATTCCTGTAACCTTGGAGCTCAATCAATTGATAATTCGCCGCGTTTACCAAAACAGTAATTGTGAACAAATTGGACAGATGAAGATGAAGATTCGAATCGTAAGCGAATGTTGAATTGTTCTTCTTTTAATCAGGTCAACAGCAAACGCGCATCGAATTTTTGGCGTGAAAATCGATGGACAGTCTGAAGACGCCAACGTTTTTCTTGCTGATAATTTTATAATGGAACAAAGTACTGTTCGCGTGTGGACTGCGAGAAACTTACTTGGAGAAATAGAGATATTGGATGAAGACGGCGACGGCGTCGTACGGTACTCCTGGAATCCGAATTTCCCGGTCGGTGCTCCGGTGCTTCTGCGGCCTCTCAATTATGTTTTCCAGCACCGGCGACGCCGAAGCCTGCGAAATTTTCACCCCAACCATCAGATAAAGAGGAGAATTCTATTATCCTTTCATCAAACACAACCAAAACAGAATAAATCAACCGAAAAATCTTTGAATCGACATTAGTGATGAAAAAATGAATACAAAACCGAATTCAAGCAACATAATACGGAAATACAGCCAAAATCGAATCAAATTCCAGCACAATAAACGCAGTAGAATCACTCGCTGCTAACAAACACAGCATAAAAAAAATGAAAGCAAAATTCATAAAAAAAAACCGTTAGACAATACCAAAATCTTCGAGTGCGCGGGGATCTGGAAACCTCCGGAGGCGACGACGTGGACGTCAGGCTCCGGCATTTCGCCGGCTCCGGCGACCGCCGGCATCTGCTTCACACGCATTCGCTCGGAGAGCTTCGCCTTCAACTGAACCATAATAAAAAAACGATTCTCTACAATGCCTCTACACAATACTCCGCAGCAAAATCGAATTCCGACGAAAACTTCCAAAATGTGAGGGGGAATCGGAGACGTTCGTCAATGGATAGAGATGATTATGAGCAGCAAGTTGCAGACAACCCAAACCTCTGCCTCTATTTATAGGCGGACCCGACCCGAATACCCAAATCGGACCCTTCAATACGTGTCTCATTCTATTGGGCAAATTGGTCAAACGGAAAATATCTGCCTTGAAATGCATACTCCTACGGAAAGTAAGACCTGCCGTCTCAACAACTGAAATGTCTAAAATACCCTCGCATAATTCGGATGCTGACTCGGATTGTGGATAAACACGTGGGAATCAAACGTATTATTAGGAGCACCGTGGACCAGAAGGCCAGGCACGTATAACTGTTCATCCAACGGACTAGATTGATCGGGACCTGGGAGTCCTGGGTGTGGCGGAAAATATATGGGAAGGGTCATATAAGATAAATTGGCCTTTAGAGGAAAGGAGGGGTTGAGAAAATAAACTTGACCTGTCTTTAGGACAAAGGTGTCACGTCCGACGTGGCATCCTGATCCAAATCTACATCGCACTTTTCCAAGTTGTCGCAATTTATTTATTTCAAAGAAATTGGGGACATCCGCCACGTGGCATGCCAAGTTGCATAAAATATCTGACTCTTGTGGGTGATAAAAGAGCAATAATCCTTGTCAAGAGCAAATGGGTCGAATTGGTTTGTTTTTTTGTTTGTGTTTGGTTTTTTTTTACACTTTAGTTTTATTTGGTATTTATTGAATATAGTTCTTCATTCGTTTCAAATATGGCGTAATATTTGTTTTCGAAACGAAAAAATTTAAGTATATAATATTAAATAGGATATTTTTGGAATTATGTGATATGATAAGAGAAAAAATTATGTATTTATTTGAATAATGTAATGAAATAAAATACAGAGTATAAATTAAATATATTTAATTATTTTTATTTTAGAAATATCCGAGAATGTTTGAGATATATAAAAATTGAAATATTGTAAGTTATTTGAGGCGGAGACAGTATTATATTAGATACCCTCTGTCCAAATCCAAATAAGGCATTGAAAGTGTGTAAAATATTTTGACAATTTTGTCATTCAAATACTTACATATTAGTAAAAATCACAATATTTAGCCATTTAAATATGATCTATTTCAATTTTTATTTTTATTTTTAAAAGGCAACATTGATAAATTAGCAACTTGCACGTTTAATATATCACACAATATATTAGCAACTCATATAGCAACTTGCATGTTTAATACTCCTTTCGTAAACTTAGAAAACATACATATTTTTATTTTGGGACGTTCAATTACAAAGTAAATATTTCATTAAATATTCTACTTTTTTCCACAAATACACTTATTTTACATCACATTATTACTTTTACACCAAAAAGCAAAAATGTCATTACACTACTTTTAACTACCTATTATAATTAAAATACTATTATTTCTTAAACAATGTGCCAAAAGTAAATGTATATATTGTAAGTGGTCGGAGGGAGTATATCACACAATCTTTTTAATCAATATTTTACCTCAAAGAAACTAATATTAGAAACTCATACTCCCTCAATTCCAAAACTATAGTTTGAACACAGAATTTAAGGAATATTGATATTATATTAGTAGTTGGTAAAAAATATGAATAAATTTATTTTTTACCCTTGTGAGTGTATTAGTATAAAAAATAGTGGCAATTGTGTAATAAAAATAAAAAAGTAGAGGTAGTTTTATGGTGATATAGTTATTTATGAAAATAAGACTATTATTTTGGGACGGACAAAAATAGTAAACAAGATTATTGTATTGGGAGTATCCCAATTTGCATATTTTATTGTACTTCCTCATTTCTCCTTAAATTTAAATTTAAAAGTATATATTTATTTTTGAGGTGAAATTTAAGAATAAAAAATATGTTTGGTACAGAAAAATAAGATCAGGAAAATAAAAACAATCTAATTTCTCTTATTTGATTGAGTTAAAGAATTCATAGCCGAGAAATAAGTCATTTCTCATTCTCCGATTTCATTTCTTTATTACATACATAGAAATATAGATAACTAAATATTCATGCAATATATTTATATTTATTGTTATTTTTAATTTTTTTTGGGTACCATTTAATTTTTACGATTTTGTAAAAAATTACATTAAAATTGATCTTACATTATATCGTATATAACTTATTATTTAAACAAAAAAGTTTATCAAAAATATTTCTATATAGATCATTCGATAAAACTCTCTCTTACCCGACTAATTATTTATTTTTTTAAAATAATATAACGTAAGTATATTTTAACTAATAACAATTATTTTATCATTATTTTTCTTCTAACTTACTTCATTATTTTTTATCAATTGTTTAATAATTTTTTCATAATATCTTATTTTTATTTTTTATTAATCCATTTTTATAATAAAATATTATTATTTTTTAATTTATGTATCCAAACAAAATAATATTTTAAACAAAAATAAAAATTATATATCACCCCTTACTACAAGTCTACAACTCCAAAACTAAATATTAAAAAAAAGAAAAAATGTCACAAACAAACCGACCATAAGGAATATTACAATTCCATAAATTATGGAAGTGTTGAAAGCTTCTGACATCAACCACCTCATTATTAATTAGACTAATAAAATTATTTTACATGGTCGGTTTAAATTTAATTATACATTTATTTACTTTTTATTTAGTTGGCGGTTAAATTGGCCAATCGGATTCCATTATATATATATATAAAATTTAATTTAATACTCCCTCCGTCTCAAACAGAACACTCTGCAATATTTCCAAAATAGGAAATAATTAATTATACTTAATATCTGCCCCACACTTTATCCCATCACATCATCCGAATAAAAAAATTAAATATACATTTCTCTCTCCATCACATCACCTAATTCTAAATTATCCTATTTAATACTACCCACCTAAAAATCCGTGTCCAAAACAAATGTTGCACCTTATTTGGGACGAAAAGAGTATTTTTTTTAGAGAAATGATTTTGAAGGTTGACAAAAAAAAATTAATTATTAATTATTAATTAATAAATACACGTGGATTCACTAATTGCCTTCTAAATTTTAATAACAAAGTTCAACGATATTACCTAAGACCTCTTTACTATATCATATCAGCCGTCATTATTGCAAATCGGATTTTAAATAAATAAATATTTCTTCACGTCCAAAAATTTAAAAAAATAATATTTTCTTGAAACGTCTGTAAGAATTTTATTTATATTTTACAAAATTATACTTAATATCAAAAATATATTTATATTTGTGTAATTTGTTTTTGCATAAGTATCACTATAATAGTATTATAAGATACTAAAAATATTTATTCTATTTTCCTTTAATTTGTACCCTGCTTTATATAATAAATAATATTATTATGGGACGGAGGTAGTATATTTTATATATATACTATATATGTAAATAAATTTACAATATATTTATTGTCAAATAATTGTATTTTTTGAATTGTCATGTTTTGAAAATATTGCCAAATAGTTTTAATTTCAATTTTGTTTTTCATTTAATATAACATACCAAAGAACTTATTAAAAAATAATCTCTTCTTATTGTAATTAAGTTTTAATAATCTTTATTGTGTAAAAAGATTTTTCAAACCTAGTTGTTGCAACAAGTAGAAATAACGCGAATTTGATAAGTCAGATATACTAAATTCAAAGTAATTATATTATTTTCTTTCAATCATAATTTTAGAAAAATCTTCTATACTTTCAAGATAGAAAAATAATGAACACTCAGTTTTTTTTTAACAATAAAGATATGTTGTTTCACTTCTGCAGATAACATAACCTCATCGTCAAAATCGTCCGAATATAATTAAGAAAGATGAAGTAGTTTCTAAACATCAAAATTAGCATATGAATCTTTAGAATTAAGAATACAATGTCTAAAAGAAGTTTTGAACTTGTCTTCGACAGGGTCAGCCTAGGCCCAGGGCGAGAGGGGCTTCCGCCCATGGTGTTTTCAATATAAATGAGGGCCGTTATATATGTATAATTTTTATATATAAAACTTAATTGAAGTATTTTTAATTTTAAAAAAAAATGTAGCTTGGCGGTGTGAGGTAATTTTACAAGGGTGAGGTCTCATAGGTTCTAATATTTTGAAATTTTTTTAATACTAATTTTGAATTTAAAGATATTTTAAAAATTATTTTATTTAATTATTTTATATTTTATTATAAATAAAAAATATTAATTATATATTTAGGGCTCATATTTTTGTTTTATCTTGGCCCCTGCAAATGAAATAAATTAATCAATATTTTTACTTTGAAATTAAAATAGACAAGTATTTGAAGAAAAATATTGCGACAAAAATAGTGAGAATAATTTTGGTTGGCCATAAACTTTGCTTTGAGATCTAACTCGATCAGGTATATGATTTTTCATATTCGGCTCAAAAATATCTTTTTTTTAGAATAAAAGTCAAAGACAATTCCATTGAATTTTTTCCAACTGTCATCATTTCATACTTCCCTTGAATCATCGTTCAACACTGTAATCAAAGATACATCATTACTAATATTCTAAAATTTTTTCGTTGTAAAGTATTTGTCAATAATGCATGTGAACATTAAATGAACTATGAAAATAAATTCAAAAGTCAATAGTTTTTCAATATGAAGCATAATCTCTATTTTTTTTAAATTTTTTTTAAAATCAATCTTATCCTCAATTATAACTTCAAGAATATCTATAATTGTGTATCACATATATAAAATTTGACAATTGTCCTATAATGAGAACCCCAACGAGTATCACCACTTTCTATGCGTTGTACAAGATCATCTTGACACTTTTGTTTAAAAGTTTATTTTCTTTTATACAAAACTTCAACAAGATTTACAATCATAATTAAATGATAAAAAAAGTTACTCATCACTGCATGATCCTTTGAAATTATCACAATTATTAATTGAAGTTGATGGGTAAAACAATGAATATAATGTACTTGATATTTTTTTTTATTTATAATAAATATTTTCAAACCATTAAACTCACCACACACATTAAAATATCCGTCGTAACTTTGA